AAGTGAGCTCTGTGATATTTCTTACCCTTCTGAAGAAATTTGAAAGTGATGTAAAGGAATATGGTAGTACAGATTAGTCAGAATTTGCACTTGCTGCTGTGAAAAAGAACCATCTTAGTGAAAGAAGGGTGAGGACTAATATTTAGCATGCAAAACTGCAAAAAAAAAAAAGTCAGCAATAAAGTTTTTTTACAGTGCAGTGCCATAGACTTTTTTTATTATCTCTTGTCTAGCTGCTGATTAGGTCCAACACTATGAACTGCAAAACAAGGTCTGATGAGAGATCTTCGACAGATTCTATTTGGTTTTATTATTTATTCTAACCTATGAATTACACACAGTAGCAGAAAAGACTACATCTTGGTTTAATGGAAAGATTTACACTCTTGCTATCTTTATAGAAGAAGGCATTATTCCACCTAGTGTACTATATACTTATATATGCTCAAATGTACTGTCTTGTAGGGTCCTCCAGGGCCACCAGGACTCCCAGGCGAGAAGGTAGGACTCTTTTCTTGTAAATATTGAGTCTATTTATTTATTTATTTGACACACCAGATCCCCCAAAATCTGGAAACTAATGGTGCTAAAGGAGTGGGTTTTTTACACGTTAGGATCTATTTTTATGTCTTAATGGACATCATAAAGAGAGATTTTTAAGGCTTTTTCAGTTTTTTTTTTCAAATATGTTTAGATCTGTTATCTCACTTGATCAAATCAGTAGTAATTATAAAATTCTTGATTATTTAAACTCATCTAAAAATGTCAAAATATTCAGTAAGAAGTTGAAAAAAGAACATACTGACAACAAAATTATCTGATAAATTTAATTCTATTTTTTTCACAAATTACTGTGAGGCAGGACTAAAAAAACAGCAGGTGGTCTAGGACATAATTATATATTTGTTTCACATGTACATTTAAAAGACATATTCTGTCTTTTATATCCACTCTTACTTTTGCTGTGTGCAAAATACCTTCATAGGTGTGTATGTATGCACTGCTGATAAACATTGACTAAAAAAGTGTAATTTATATTTTCAGGGCTACATGGGCTTGGGCTTTCAGGGTCCCAAAGGTGAAAAGGTAAGCTTCTTTTGAAAACTTCTAGAGAACAGCTGTCAAACATATTCTTGATACTTTGTTTTAAATAAATAAACTGTTGGAATTAATCTATGGAGAAAATAAAAATGATGACATTGTAGTTTTTGGAAGACTTTGAGCAAGTCTGTAGCTTATACCTAAATGAACAGAACTCATGAGCTGTTACAGAATTTGCTCATGGTGATGTTATACCTGACATTAATTTAGGTCATTATCCTGTTTTCCAGCTGTGACTAGTACTAATTACTTTAGTTTGCAGTAGGCAGATATGGAAACATTTACTCTGTGTATTAGGACTCATCATGAGTTTTGTTTGAAATTGGTTTAGTTCTGAGGGATGAGTTTTAATATTCTATCCAGAATTATCAGAATTAATTGTGGTAGGACTCTTGAAGGCCTATTTGCCTTAGTTTGGGTCGGTAGTGTATACTTTTGAAACAGATCTTTTAGTTGTCCGCTTTCACTGTGTTTTGACTTAACTGGACCAGTTTTCAGAGCACACAGACTGGCTTACTTTTGAATGAAACTAAGCCAAAAGCTGTGCTCCAGGATCCCATTTATTCTCTTAACCAGCATCAAATGGGAGGTAAAACATGTTAGCTTTACTGTGTTACCTCTGTTACTGAGAGGTCTAGGTTGAAGTGCCTTATGTTGCATTTTCAGGAGCCAAGAACTGCATGCAGTCATGGGTTGTTTGGTAAATTGATGCTGTGTCTGAGCCCTTCTGCCAAAGCTTCTCATGAATGTCATTGACAGAGGCCTTTCAGAGTATAAATAAATTATGTTATTTAAGTGGTGTTTTTTTTATGCACCTCTTTATTTATGTATTTTGAGGCACGACGTGATGCATTGTTGAGATTAACTTGTTATCATAAAATCTCTTGAAAAATGTTGGCCTAAGAAGTGTGTGGAGATTTCCTGGACTCCTCAGGTTTGTCTTTAGCAAAAAATAAATGGTATTGCTACGCATTACTGCTTGACAGAAGCATATTTTTGGAGATGTTTTACTGTAAAACTTAGTACTTTTACTTTATGTAAGGAGATGAGGTGGTGACCTCACCTCCTTATAGATGTATATTGACACATACATACTAAAAAAGTATGATCCACAGTTACCACCGTGAAGTTGGCCTTTACAAACAATTGAAAGCTGATGGAACACTATAAGCTTTGACTAACATTTTCCTTGGGGCATCAACTTTCTGCACCTGACCTCTTTCCTCCTAAAGGAGCTACTAAAAAGCTTTTGTACTAATGTAATAATTAATTGAATATGTTCCCTGTATTTGGTATTAATCCATTTTCACCCTAAAAGGAGGTTAAGAGATCTTTCTTCAGGACAGTCTCTGTCTGTCAGCCATTATACAGTTGTGTCTCCTATAACTGTGTATATAACCCTTTCTGTGACTGATTTTGCTGGAATAAGAATTTTTTTTTAAACATTTAGCTATATTTTTAAAAGCAAGTAGTAGTTCCCTTTGATGTTATTGGTCTTAGTAATGTTTGTTCTTGGTGTCAGTACTGTTTTCAATGGACTATCCTGGGTTTGGTGTTGACAGGGAGAACAAGGAGTAAGGGGCCCTCCAGGCCCACCAGGACCAGCACCACATATGAAAGAAAAGGGGGCTGAAATCATAAGGGGAGAAAAGGTGAGACCTTAAATGATTAATCTTGTTGTACGCTTCATTAAAATATGATCAGTAGGAATTAGCAAACAAACGTAAAACAGGAAAAGTCACCTACAGCCGTTTTTCAAAAATTTCTCCCTATTTTACTTCATGAATGAATTTTGATTGTCTTTCTGGAAGTTTCTTTGAAAAATATATGATAAAATCATAAATGCACACATAATTGCGTGAAGAAGTAATACATACAGCAGAGGACTTTCTGAGGAAGAAGGATTGATAAGCATAGTCCTGTAAACACCAGATATTCTGAAAATTTGAATTAAGTAGCTTATACTGGACTTTTCATGTACAGAATCACATTCATGGAATCTGAGTGGTAATGAAATATTCAATTATTGAATTAGGCAATCTAAGCAATGTCTACTGGTATAATAAACTAGCTTAATGGATTCACGTTTTGTGTTTGTCGAACTGCTTCTTGCACAACATACTGTTGGACACAATTCTTGGAGGACAGGGTTAAGTGTCCTTTTTTTGACATGAAGAATTAAATTATTTACAACCTAAGTGAATAATGGTTAAGCTTTTGCTTACTAATCTATGTTTTTTTATAATTTCATTAGGGTGAACCAGGTGAAAAGGGTGAACAGGGACTCCCAGTGAGTATCGTGTAGATTTTTTTTTAATTACTATAAAAATTGTGAAGAAGATGTTAATGGCCATGAATATCATTATAGCTATTTGATGAAAGCAAATTTACTTTCAAATTTTGCAGTGTTACTAATATAGCGTGTATGTATTTTCCAGGGATTTCCAGGTTCAGGTTTCAAAGGAGAAAAGGGTGAACCTGGGAAGCCTGGTCCACGTGTAAGTATGCTCAACTTTTATCAATGCTGTCATTACAGTAGTTGCATTGTTTCCATAAGGTAATTAAACTTAGCAACCATTAATGAAACAGAAAATTTGGTAGATTTGAAACAAGCAAATTTTGTTGTAGGACAGAAGTACAAGTCAAGGTAGTAATAACATACAATACTATTAGTATGTAACATGCTTTCAGGTAACTAAAGACACCCAACAGTAGCTTGCATTTGCTGAAGGCAAAAGCAAGACTCCCATTGACCCCAAATGAGGCAAAATTAATTCATTCCAGAACAGAAGGAAAAGCAAAGCAAAAAAAAATCACTCTGTAGAAATCACTTTAGCTAAATGGTACGTGTTGAATTTATTTCAAATACTCTTACGTACAGTCTACAAAATAAGCCCTCTTAGCCTAAAAGTACCATTTCTTACAAAGAAGAGGAGTGAAGGAAAAAATTTAGGTGACTGAGACACTTTCGTTTGCTGGTTTCTAGCCTGGCTGTGGATACTGGAGGCCATAAGGTCTGTCACATTTGTGTAGTCTGGCCTATATAATGGTCTCATCCATAGAACTTCTGCGTGAGTTATGCTATACCTTTCATAGCTAAGCTGGTAGCAAACCCATCCATTCTCTACAAGAAAGCGTATCTGAAGTATTGTCTCTGAAATTGTGGGTCTTCGTAAGCTGCTAGAAAAAGACCCAGCACATCTATAAGCATAGAATTATACTTCAATCTGAAAAAGATAAAATCTCCCTCTCAAATATACTTTAAGGTCAAATGTTCCGTCATCCTTTCAGTAAAGATATGTGATGGGATTATTCTTGCTATCATGTATGTATTCGTACTCTTACAGTAAATGAGAGCTTGGAAGCTGGGAGGATAGAGAAATATTGGCTTAGAACTTGTTGAAGAAATGAAAGCATCTTTGAATTGTTCAAAAATGCAACTTTCAGTTTCTGCAGAGTTCCCTGAACAAAGTTTCTAAGATACTTTATATATAATTGTTGCTGTTCAAGGAGATCATAGCTACTTATGAAATTAAGATATGGCTTAAAAGATGAGCAGTTGTTAAGATCTGATATTCTAGTTTCATGGAATGAAACTATATGATTAATTCCAATCACAGTGAGCATTTGAAGACTCTCCTGACTTCACAGATCAAATTTTTAATTAATCATTAAAAATTTTTAATTAATCATTAAAAATTACTCGTGACCTTTCTTTATAAGATGCCATAGCTGTGCACATCAGTGGTGATGGCCTGTTCACATTGGTTGTATCTTTTTTATCCTTTAAATGCATTGTTTTAGACAGAATTTTTTGACTTAAAAAAATTTTTAATTTTTAGTCTGAATTGCATGCACTGTTACTTTGTGTAATGACACATTTGTATGTAAAAAACAAAAAAATGTAAAAAACATTTGCTTGTTTTTATGGGACATATTCATATTGCTTATGATATGCATACAATCTAAGCACTGTGACACCAACTAAAAGCCAGCCTGCAGTGGATTAGGCTACAAGCCTAGGTACCAGTCCCTTCATAGTCCGTAAGAAGAGGAAGGGAATGCTGAAAAGTAGGTTAGTCCATCTAGGTCATTTATTGCGTACCTGTTGATTACCTCAAGGGAATCTAATCCCCTCTGTAGGCTAATGCGTTGGTCTAATAGTGATTCGTTTTGCTCTGGAGGAGGGAGTCTGGGATTCTAGGTTATCATCCACCTTGTGATTTGAAATTATAGCTTTCACTTTAGAGGAAGTGTTTTTTACCACGAGATTATGACGCGATCTGATATGGGGTCACTCTCCAAGCTTTCTGTTGAAACTGAGCCACCGAATGTCTACGAATAAAGGTTTCGTGAGGCTGGAGAGTGTATATATATATATAGAAAGAGATTGCTATGAAGGGAAAAGTTCCTGGGTCTGGTTCCAGTTTCCTGTGCTGCTGATATGTTTTGTCTTGAAGCCTCCTTGACTGGGAAATCCGTGTGTTGTTCCTGAATCAAGGATTGGCAGGATTTTATTTAATTCTGAAGCTCGTGGGATGTTCAGTAACATAGGCAGTAGGCAGTCGCAATTCGCCTGCTTTGTACCCTCTGCGCTGTCAGCTGTGTTAGCACACTTCGGTTAATGCATTACAATAGCGATCGTTTTGTTCTAGTGTTTCCCCACTGTATTTAGAAATCGCATGTATGTGGCTGTCTGTTTAAATAGAGTGGAACTTGGTGTTTTACAGGGAAAGCCTGGAAAAGATGGTGAACCAGGACCAAAAGGAGAATCCGTATGTATTTTACTGCATTTCCATTACCATTTCTTAGATTCAAACCAAGGAACTGTCTGTTATAAATGGTTGAAATTTTCTAGCCTTCTGAACTGTTTACTTAAAGTTGTTGCTTTTGGTAAATTTGTGACTGGTTTGAAAATTTAAAATTTCGATGCTGCCAGAGCTATGATGCAACTATACCTGTCTTTTCTGGTTTTGCTGTCTTCTACGTGCAGGGCTTGCCTGGTGGATTTGGGATTCCAGGACGACCCGGGGAGCCTGGTGCGAAGGTGTGTAGTAGCTGCCTTTGCTTCTTCCCATCACACAGAATGAGGAGTTAAGAGCTTGTATGGCGTGTTCATAGATGTGCATTAAAACATAAATGTACATAAAGCAGTCTTAAATGAATGTTACTAAGTTGTAAAGTCATCACTTGGAGACTAGGAAAAGTCAAACTTAAGGTAGCTTAGGTATCCCTGCTTTAGATCTCTCTGAATTGATTAATGCAGGCTTTATTTTGATGAGCTCTTTGCCCAGCCAACATATGTAAAAATGTACTGTCCTAAAAATCCCAGTTTCTCTTTACATAGTGTAAAGCAGTACAGGCCTGCAAACTAACTACTTACTGCTTATTATAATTTTCCAGATACTTACAATTTGGAAGTTGCATGAATCTGTATGAAAGTGTTCATTTGCTAAGGAAATCCTATTTTGTGGGGAAGAAAATCTAAGCTGAGTTTATGTTTTGATTTAGGGTGACAAAGGTGAACCAGGTTTTCCAGGACCTCCAGGAAGAGTAAGTAAAATAATTTAGTGTTGTATTTTAAACATAAATTAAAACATAAATTTTGTGAAAGTCAAAGTGCTCAAACAATGAGGGAAACAAGAGAGACTATGCATGTTCTGGTCTCACTCTAATCAGTCATGTCCTCATTTTTTCCAAATGAAAACAAAAGTTGGATGCAGTTCTTTTAAGTATCTTTGAAATTTGGGAAAGGAGCTCTCAAAGAATATGAATTTCAAATGCTTTGGACTGTGAAAATGATAGGCATTGTTAATCAATACAAAGTATCCGAAAAAGAGTTCAAAAGAAGAAGTCTGTCATCTTTGCAGTCTATATTTTTTTAACACTTCAAACAAGAAGATTAGATTAGTCAGCAATGAATATGTCAGTGATGGTTCTGCTTCCCCAACAAGGGGGAAAATTCCCAACGTCTGCTAATTTGATTTGAAAAAGGGTGCGTACTTCCTGAATATTTTATTGCAAATGTTAGTATCCTGTATGTCCAGCTCAGATCAATGTTAGCAGAAATTGCCAGAGCAGAATATTTTAAAATTAAAGATAATGCAAACCTATACAAACTGGTCAGCACTTAGACCATGCTGAGGTTTCTTGGCATCATTCTTGTTGAGAAAGGTGCTGTAAAGCTGTCCATTTAATCGGCTACTGATATGAAGAAATTTTGGTAGAACAGGAAATATTTATTTTGTCTGGTAATTCTTCAGCAGCTACAACTCTCTCACAGCAGTTGTTACATATCTCTGACATTGCAAGTGTAACTAAAACTGCTCAAAATTGTTTTCACAAGACAAAATGGCCTCTGTACCATCAGGTTAAGATGGGGGAGATACAAACAAAGGCACGGTTGTATGTTTCTAGTGTCCTAGTCTTTCTTTTGTGATTCAGGTTATAGATGGACCAGTAGATACCTTTGGTGAAAAAGGAGAGCCTGGACTGTCAGGTTTGCCTGGACTGAAAGGTCAAAAAGGTGAAAAAGGTGTGTATTTTCTTTTGTTTTTTTGATGGAGTTATGCTTTTAGTTTTCTTATTATAGGAAATTAAAATTGCACTGTTTGTGAGCTCAGGAGCTTTATATGACAGTGAAATGTTCCAGTTATTTATTAATTGCTTTCAGGTTATTACATTCTCTTGTAGTTTGTGGGATGATGCTTCTCATCATAAAGAAGACTGACTTTCAGTTATAGGCTGGTAAATAATCCAGTGAGATTATTTGAGAAAGATGGAAGTCAACACAAGCGTAAAGAGGATAATGATGCAGAGAATCTTGAGACTCCTTTAAATAAATCAGTAGCTAGATTTTAGTCTTAAAAATGGTGCATGTAATTTACAAAATTCTTCAGCAAACAGGAAAGATCAAGCATTCCCTTTCCCATTTTCCCCATTACAGGCCTTACCCTGTTGAAGAAAAATCAGTGAGAAGATGGCACACAGCAGGGCCTTTTCCTTAAATGTATTGTTTGCAGATATCTATGGATTATTTAACTTAACTTTTGATTCAGCTCATACTAGCTTGTAATGTGTACTTAATTAATATGTGATAACAGTTCATTGACATTGACATTGCTGATATTGTTGCCTAATTGAAAATCTCTCTTTCTAAAGGTTTCCCTGGTATACAAGGAATCCCAGGACCTCCAGGTATGAATTTGTGGCCACTGATTTTGTTCACATTTTTCCTGTGTTCTTCTTGGGTGAAGAATCCTGAGAGATGTTCTCCTTAGCTGCTGCTGGTTACTGCCTGACCTGCAGAACACCCAGGCAGTGGTCTAATCTTCCCCCTAGACCTTCCTGTAGATTGCTTTTCTCGTGTCTCTGGTGTGATCCAGCCTTGCTCTTTGTGTAGAGCCCGGAGAAATTTCTGCTTCAACTGAAGAAGTAGTGTGCGCAGGTCGTCATAGATAGCCCAGAGAGTATGACTCCATTGGGCAAGAAGAGTTGTAAAATGTGAATATGTGCGTGGGTATGTGCGTATGTACTTATGTATGTATATTCATATGTAGATTATTTGTTTTGCTCTCACTTCAGCTCTATATAAATTTGCATAAATAAAATAAAATAAGATTTGCAGGGAGAAATAATAACATTTATTAGATCAAAGTCATTCATGAAGGCTTCCTGCTTTTTTATGACTCTATCATGATCTAATAAAAGTTATTTCTTTTGCCTGCAATTGTCGCCTTCTTCAACTCTTAACATCTTCACATCCACGACAACAGTGCTATTATATATACATGTACATTTGTTTGAACTAATCCACAATACTTGCTTTTTAAAAATTAGGCAAACGTCTGTGGAAACCTGACTCTAGCACATCCTGTAATGATACTACTATTACCTCCTTTGCTCGCATTTTCTATCTTGACAGTGAGCTAAATATGAAACTAATGTGAGCCAGGATCAAGGTAGTTTCCAGGAAATTCTTTACAGTTTAGGGAGGAGATACTACATACCACAGGCTGTAATAGTCCCTAAAGAATTCTATGTGACAAGACAAGAGCAATGGTAGCTCTTAGTCTATTACCCTTACAGAAATTGAGATTTGTGTGACTTTCATATCTTCCTGCAACGTTGCAGAAGGCTCAAAATGGTTTAACAATCAAGCTTAGTGATTAGTTGTGAACTGTAATAACTCATTAAAGTATGAAGACTTGCGTGACTGTACATATAGCTAAAAGGTGATCTTAAGTAGGTTTGTTTCTAGCTGTTTAACTGCTTCTCTTTGGCGGTTGTTTGGTTATTATTCCGACAAACAGTTTTGGTTTTAGTGTTCCTGAAATCTGCTAGCATTGTTGAATATTTATTTACTGAAGTTCTTAGACATGCTGTCCCTTTCCAGGCATGTTTAAGATTTGGTTTATTATGAGATAAGGATGTGTGTAATAGTTTCTAAGTGTAACTGCTAAATTAACTCCGGTGTCGCCACTATTTACTATGCAGTGAAAGTTGATTCAACTAAATCTCAGAAAGGCACTTAGTACAGAAGAAGTGTGTTTGTCTAGGGACCTAACCAAAGTGAGTTACTCTAAGCTGTAGTGGTACATAATCTCAGTTTTGTATTAATTGCCAATAGTAAAAAAAACAGTGCCTTTTTTATTTTGCACTAACATTTCTCCCTTTCTCTCTGGAACCTAATGGAAGCTAATATGTTGATAATGTTAGTGTCTTTTCACTTGTCACTCTTTTAATGTATGTTTTACTCTGTCCAAAGGTCGACCACTTCCAGACAGGGCAGGGTCACCTGGTGTCCCTGGAGAGAGAGGTGAAAAAGGTGAAAAGGGTTCTCCGGGATTCCCTTTACCTGGACCCCCTGGAAGAGATGGTTTCCCGGGTCCCCCGGGGTTGCCTGGCCCACCAGGTCCTCCAGGCAAAACAGGTAGGTAAAGCACTCAGTTGCTTTTCACAGTGAAGACTCAATAATGCACATTGCACACACATAAAAAAGGAAAAAGAGACAAGGTTATAAAAGCTGTAATCAGAATGCATCTACATCGTGGAAGAAACAGATCTGAGTTGTTAATGGACCAAGTAAAAGCTGTTCCGTGATGCAGCAAGCCACTTGTTTCATTACTGGGACGAAGATTCTTTGCTAAATAAACGTTTCTAATATTTCTTCAAAAGTTCATTGTGGATTGTTACAGTATAACCAAATAATTGACCTTAATACATATTGGTTTCCTCTGTGTCCTGATGTGCCAACCTGGAGATATTTGTAGATTTTTCAATTAAAAAATTAACAGGTACCAATATTGTTCTCAGCATAAAAGACAGCTGTTCAGTATCACAATTTACAAGTCTGCAGTACCAATCTATGTAACAGATTGAACAGTTGTAAGAACTGCAGACTGAAATACTAGTCTGCCAGAAGTTTGTATTGTAAAATGAAGTTATCTTACAAGAGAATGGGATCAACACATGCTTTATAGAGGTAAAGGAAAAGCTAGTAATGATGTGACAAGTACATAATAGTATTAGTAGTAATGATAACAACATTATACAGATATGTGTAATTAGATTCTCATAAAGCGTTTTTAAAAGGAAAAATGTTTTGGTTTTGCTTTAGTTGATACTGATATTGTGAGTTAAATTGTCATTTCAATATAATGAATGGTGTCCCTATTACAGTAGTTTGGGCAGTCTAAAACTATTGAAAGGAACGTTATTCTCTGTGGAATTCTGAAACCAAAAATCCTTTGTTCAAAAAGCACTTGAAGATGTCTAGCTGTTGCTGGGTTTGCCAATGAAGCAGTACAAAATCCAGCACCTAGAGTATGGAATTAAATAGGCAAATCTTACCTTGCCTAAAAATAAGAGCAGTTCCTGGTTTTCATACAACATGATTCTGTCACTGCTTAATCCTACTCCTTTGCTGGACACGTCTTTAGCTTTCTTGAAGTGCATAATGGGAAACAACTTGTTTTCATTTAAGTGTTGCTTGTCAAACTTTACAGTAGCAGTTTGACTACTGGCTTTGGCCAAAATGATGTTGTATTGTATTGGGTCAGAATCTGTGCCGTGTCATCGAACAGAACAAGCACAATCTGTAGGCTCATATCAAGCCTGCTATATATTCTCATTTGTTACCTATTTCAGTTCCTAACATATGAAGTTTCTTGTTTTCGGGAAGCTTGATCAGTGTGAAGAAGTTAAATAGATGTTAACAAGCTGCCTTTGACCTAGAAAGTTTCCTAAAACATTGAAAACAAAGGTCAGAGTATAAAAAACTCTACTTAATGAATTTCTTCAGAACGTCAATATTCTCCATTCTTTGCAGGGTCAAAACAGCAATTTTTCACCCACAGCACTTTCCTTAGCCAAAACTTACAATAAAAGTAGATTTTATGTGAAAGTTGTTCATAGCCTTATTATGGCAGAGCCTGCCTTTCTTCTGTAATTCTCAGAGTTTCATGAGCAGTATATATGGAATCAGAATACAGAATCCTAGTTGAATTTTTCAAAGTAAATCAAATAGAAAAGTGAAATGCTATTCTGACGTATCACTCTTCATAGATAGTTCAGCTGGGACATTCATAAATGCAGCCCTATAATGGAAACTTGCACTTGTCAAACAATATTCTTTATTTCGTTTCCATTGCAGACGGAATTGATCAATGCCAGCAGGGAGAACCTGGTACACCAGGTAGTCCTGGACCGCCAGGAAGAGATGGATTTCCAGGAGAGATGGGAGAGAAAGGTAATATTATTTTAAAATGGTTGCTTTCTAATACTCTGTACCCTGACACTTGGGTATGTAAAGAGGATGAGCAAGTTAGGCTGGATCCAGAGAAAGTGTGCTTAAAGTTAGTTAAGCAAATAGCCCATGGACATGGAAGATGTTGCTTGAGTCTCTGGCAGAGTAAAAGAAGGACATTGTGTACCGAGCTGTGTGACACAAACTTCACTTACATTTCACATAGCCTGCACATTGCTGGGAAGCAATAAAAGATGGCGCAGGGCTGAAAGAGGAGCTGGGAAGAAAGAAAGAGTTGGGTATAGCCCCATTAAGTGTAAATGGAACTGTTCCTTGCGATTTAAGATGTGAATTCTGAGATGAAGAATTAGAGAGGGGCAGAGGAGTTGGGAATGGAAATGGTTTATGAATCATTGCCATGAGTATAATTGAAGCTAAAATTGTAACACCTAAAAATAGGACTGTCAACCATGTGTTTTAGCAGCATTGACTAAATGGACGTATAAAAAAATGAGCTACACTCATTTACACGATGGTTGATCCTTCCTAATCTCATTCTGCTCACTGCTTTTCCAAAACTGTGAAATTGCAGTGACTATGGAGGTTCTCCTTTTTCTGCTTTAATCTTTTTATTTCTGCTGTACCCGGTGTATATCTCTTTTCTTCTTTTTGATCCTCTTCAGCCTAGTCCTTTTGAACTGTTCTGTTAAATATTATCCCTAGGATAAGGCTTAAGTTGATTTTCATGCCATTCTTTTAAAAATTTTAAAGAATTTTGAATATCAGTTTGCTGATAAATTCTCTTTGAAGCATGCAATTAAAAGTAGCACATTTATTTATTTTTATTCTTTCACCATGAAGTGTATTAAATTGACGTTTTCCCCTGAAACCACCTGCTTGCAGTTGTCTGAAATCTTTTCATTGATATTCATGAGTTTTGTTGGGTGTTTTTCTCAGGTGACAAAGGTGAATCTTGTGCCTTATGTGATACAGTAGGACCTCCTGGACTTCCAGGACCACAAGGGCCACCTGGTCCATCAGGTAAAAACTCATTAACTACCTGAGAATTAACTATGGCGGATAAAATCAAAAAATGCATCACAAATGGTCTAAGTAATTACTTTTTGTCCCACTAATGAAATTGTTTGTGAAACTAATAAAAGGGGGACAGAATACTCCTATTTTTGACCTGATTCCAAATTTACGATGCAATCAACAAGAATTACCAAGGAAGCAGGAATTGACCACAGTGGAGGGTCTTTGCAAACTGTGACTCAAATTTTTTCACAGAAGATTGTGAAAGTGAAAAGTAATGTGGAAAGCATTTGCCCTGTGTGCCCAGGCTTGGCAATGTCCCATACATACGTTCCCAATCCTAGCATTAAATTCTGTGGCCAAAAGAAAAAGAAAATTCTGCTACCAGATGAGGGAAGTGCCACATGCAAGCAGTGATATTATACCTAGTGTTTGTTCTTGTGGCTGTTTAGAAAAATGAATACAGTTTAGGTAGTTTCAAGACTGCAGGGATTACATGATACGTCTAAATAGTAAGGTGAATTAATTCCTAAGTCAAATGAATCATCAGCTTCTGAGTTTATGAACACAGACACGTATCTCACATGAGCACATGAATCCAGACAGCTTCACTGACTTTACCAGTGTTACGTTGACATAACTGGGGACGTAGTGAGACACTTTGAGAAGGATAGCAAAGAATTCATGTACAATGAGCTATTTGTAAAAACATGTAATAAATAGAATTGTATTTTTGTCTCTCTGATAAGGTTTTCCAGGACAATCAGGTTTCAAGGGTGACAGAGGCTTACCTGGACTTGATGGCCTTCCAGGGGTACCTGTAAGTAATGCCTTGCCCAATGCTATGTGTCCTGTGAGGCATGTGATCAGAAGTGTGATGGTGTAATAGTGCTGTTTAAAAACAGACCAGCACAGTGATATGATAAAATTAAGGAACTATGCCTAGCAAAATAAACTGGGAATCAGTTGTGGTTGAGCTATGGGGGGAAAAAAGAGCTGTCAGAAATGGGTTATATTTCTGTGTTTGCCCATCATATGAACTCAGCAGGACACATGACCATCTGCCTGAGCAAGCTAAGCAGTAGAGTTGGGTGAAAAGTAGGATTTTGCAGGAAACGGATGCAGGTCTGTCCTGACCTTCTCATGAATCGTTCCAGTAATTCTTTGCTGTTGTGTACGTGTATGAGAGAGAGACAGTGCCATCTAGTGTAGTGCAAGCAATCTAGTACTAGTGCGCAGTGTATTTTGACAGTGTGTCTGAATTTTGGGAATTGTGTGCAGTGTATGCCGTAAAACATAATTAACTAGCAGAAAAGCTAAGTAGTTTTGAAGAAATAAAGGAAGCCTGTGAATGTGGATAGTATCCTGATGATATGACCGCTTATAAATTATGTTGACACAGCGCAACACGACTCTCAGTGAGTAAGGCTGGATATCAGAAGCAGAGCAGCTGTAAGCATAACACTTGTCTAAAATGTAAACACAAATTGCTCCTAGATGAGCACTGTACTAGCACAACTACATTTGATCTTGTTAGAGTTCACCTGAGTGTCCCTACGTACACTGTGTTGTGCTGTCAGGACCTACCTTAGTGTACCCATTCCTTTAGTATAACATGTATTTTGACACCATTCCTAATGTAAATAGACTGAGTTTGTTAGTCTTCATAGACTTCTTTTACCAAAGCTATTTTCTCCTTCCAGCTGATCACTTTGGCAACACAACTTCTGAGTGACATTCATGTGCACTAGCGTTAACACACACTGGAGTTAAGCATGCAGTCTCTATCACCAGCAGAGAGGCACCTTACCCACCTGTGTGAATTCCTTACTCAAGGAATCTGTTTCTCTCCATTGAGTATAAATCAAACCTAGATGCCTGAATTCAACCAATGAAAGTTAGCTAGAATGGAGTCCATTCTCTGTTTCCACCGCAATAAATAAGATGGTATTACTCAGTGACTGAATTTTCTGTAGTATCAATGGGATCCATGAAAGAAACAGTGGAGAAAAATAAAAGATATCCTAATGTATTTAAGCTTTTTTTCTGTCTGGCATTTGTTCGCAGCACATGTTTTGCCACACCTTTATATTTTCCTTTTATTGCCTCTTAAGTTCTGTTCATGTCTTTCATCAGACAAGGACTGGCTGCTGTTCTGAATTCTTTTAAGCTTGTTTCCTCCACAAAGTTCAGCCAAGTGATGATCCAGCATATAGTTTAGCTTGGAAGTACTACACAGAGGTCAGCATCGCAATCTCACATTGTTTAGAGCCATGCCAGAGGATCACAGTCTGATCCAGGACCCACCAAAGCTAACGGAAAGATGACATTTGACCATGTTCTGATTCAAGTTTAAGTAGAGGGCACACATCAGCCATAGTGAGAAGCTCTAATTCACTTGAAATTAGAGAGACAGTTCCTAGTATTAAGTAGATAATTTCTTCCCAGGAGAGCTTACAAAACTCTTTTCTGAGCATGTGCAATAGTATTGTGATAGTACCAACTGACTGTGATTGTTAATTGTACAAAATCAATGAATGTCAGTAATGAAGGGAAACCTGTATTTGCATCAGCTAAATGTCATAAACTATCTAAGGAGAAGCTTTCAGCCTTCAGCCTTAGCGCTTGTGCAAATAATGTTTGAGTTTTGTAGAAGACAATTGATTTAATTTTGTAGATAATCTCTATGTTTGATGAAGATTATAGTTGATTTAAAGGTTTTGAAGGAAAGAAAATCATGCATGGGGCTTGTATAAGCAATTTAAACCTGTAAGTTTGGCTGAGCTTGTCTTTGCATACTGGAAGCATGTTATTTTCCTGTATTAGTACTACTTCTGCTGGTATTGTACGTTATCGTGAAAACGTGTATATAATTTTGTTGCATTTGCGTCAGGGAAGTAGGTTCCACAGTGTTACAGAATTCAGCAATTAAAGGTTGGGGCAGACACTTTAATTCTGAAAATGCCTTTTTAAAAAGCCTGGTTTACCTTGTTGGTGATAATTGATTTCAATTATGTGTATTTATACAGTGAATGGTTTATTGAAAATTCAGAGTGTTTTTTTGGTGTCATGGCCTGCAGTTCTTGCGTAAGAGGTGTAAGTTTATATACACCATCTAAAATGATATACCTGTGATACGGTAAAGGACAAAATGGTCAAGATGAGAAGATTTGCATTAGTTCCTTATTCACACTGCTGTGTCCTAGAAAAAAATCTCATTTAACCTGCTCAATAGAAAAATTAATGGTTTAATTGATCTGGGTCTACTCTTTAATTTCTGAAGATTTGTTTTCTTTTGTATCAGTTGAAGGGTTGGTAGGGCAACTGATGACATCTGAATTTATGAAATTTCAGGGGCCCCCCGGCACTCCAGGACTTATGGGCATCCCTGGGGCAAAAGGAGAACCAGGAGATTTTTCGTATGATTCTATCCTGAAAGGTGAAAAGGGAGATCCTGGTTTCCCAGGACAACCAGGTACTCCTGGAAGAGAAGGAAGACCAGGAAAAGATGGCTTGCCAGGTCTCCAGGGCCCAAAAGGAGCATCGGTATGTGTATTTCTTTATGTTTATAAATTGTCCTACTGTGTGTTTATTTATGTTTACATACTGTCCTATACATTCTGCGTTTCATATCAGAATTCACATGCTTTTATGCCCTATACATGTTTTATGTTTATTGGATTCATTCGTTGCTCCACATCTTGTCCTTACCTTGAGTAGTGTATTCTTCCTCAGAGGAAGATTCCAGTTTCCCTGGAACAAGGGAGGAAAACAGTCTTTCAACAACAGACTATTTCAGAGTTAGGTTTTGACGCTTTCTTTTTATATTGTCATGCAAATAAGTGATCTGACTCAGATGTGTAAAGCATGGCTTGTTACTTTCAGGACTGCAGAGCAAGGTTACTTCCCCCACAGAGCAGGGGCAAGAACAGTAGTTTTGTTCCTTTCTCCCTTTCTCACAGCTTGATAGTGAGAACTAGTGTGGATGATTTAGCTGATATCTGGAGGTGATTGAAGGGATGCCATTATCCAAGCAAAGACTGTTAAGACAAGATTCAACTCTGTTCTAGCATACTTCTCTTTTTGTGGAAACTAATGCTTCAAAGTCTTGCAGTGATAGAGTTCAGATGGTACAGATGTGGAACTGAATGTGGAGTTCACATCTGCTGCCAGATCCACCACTGAGAACAGAGCCTACATGGTCTAGTTAGCTGCATTGCACACTAGGTATGATTTCCACGCGCTTTTCCACATGGAACCCAGTTCCATTGCTATTGAACTCAGTGATAAAAAATCCACTATCTTCAGCATTACGGATACCTGTGCTAAATCCAAGTTAGAAAACATTGTAAGAGTGAGTATGACGTGTTCTGTCTTGCAAGTAAGGCAAGAAGCACACTTATGCTTTTGAAAAACTAGGGTACAGCTGGCTTGAAAGGAGAACGTGGTCCCCCTGGCCAACCTGGATTCCCTGGAGTACGTGGTGAAAGAGGTTTTCCTGGCCCTCCTGGGGTAGGCGCTGCAGGGTTGCCCGGCGACAAAGGAGACAGAGGCTTTGCTGGAACCCCAGGTTTACCAGGCCTTCCAGGTAATGCCATAGTATGCTTTAAAAAAAAAAAAGAAGGAAAAGAAAAAATTGTGCTGTTTAAGTGGTGCAACTTAGAGGATCAATGGAATTTAAGATTGAAATAAAAAAATTTGCTTACTTAAATCAGTGTTTGGTTTCAGCGGTATAATTGCAAATCTCTGAGGGCAGTTTTCTTGAAGAGTGTGTTAGGCCCAGCGGGATGATTTAGGTTCGTCCTAAACTGAGTTCATCCTAGTATTCTATGAATCTTCTACAAAAAACGTCATTAGAAGTCAGTTGTAATGGTACGGATGGACTAATATTGCTGGCTAGGTGAAAGTCCCCTGTTTAATTTCATCTGTTCCTGTACTTCGTGCATCTCTACATTCACAGGAGCAAAGGGTGAAGCAGGACGAACTGTACCGCTCCCCGGCCCTCCTGGGGCAGATGGCCTTCCTGGGCCACCTGGCTTCCCTGGACCCCAAGGTACAGTAGCCTGCTAATCCTTGTCAGATGACCATAATGGCCTGTTCCTCAGAAGCTAGCCTTTGTATTAACATTTGTCTTATTTTCGCTTGCAAAGGTGACAAAGGGAATCCTGGGCTTCCAGGCAGACCCGGCCTGCCAGGAGAAAAAGGTGCTGTCGGGCAGCCAGGTATAGGGTTCCCTGGACCTCCAGGACCCAAAGGTAAGATAAAGGTATCCAGCTAACAGAGCTGGTGTAACTGGGGTGTGGATGGAGGCCTGCACTGTCAACCAGCCATGGCTGCATGAGATTTGGGAGGTGCAGCTGAAGAACCTCCCTTGCGAAAGTCCACAAGCAGCAAAATAAGCAGACTTTCAACGCACACTTGCATTGTGTAGTGATGTGGTGCAGATACAAAGATACTGCTGCAACAGAAAGTGATCACAGAATCACAGAATGTTCGGGGTTGGGAGGGACCTCTGAGGGTCATCTAGTCCAACCCCCCTGCCGAAGCAGGGTCACCTAGAGCAGGCTGCAGAGGACCTTGTCCAGGTGGGTCTTGAATATCTCCAGAGAAGGAGACTCCACAACCTCCCTGGCCAGCCTGTTCGTGATATAGTTCGTGATATAGTGATATAGTACAACATTTTAGATAGCAGCAACTGAGGCTGCTGAGAGATGAAACACTGTGTGTGATTGGTTAAAAAACCCATACTGACATGACTACAACATTTCTGGGCCAGAGCTAGTAGCTCTGCTGTGTCCCGGATGGCTGAGAGTGGTTTGGTTAGAATACCAGCTTACTCAGTGTAAGTTTAGTCTTCCCTGCATGGCCATTGTCAGAGTATGCACATAGCTTAGAGGGAGCCTAACTCTTCGTATTCTAGTTTTGGATTTTTGGGACATGTATTTCATAGTGCTGGTACTCACTTAGTACTCATTAGAACAAGATGGCTGAGCTTTGAGCAGCCATCTCAATCCCCAAAATTCTTATGTGTCTTCATTAGTATTTATTTTGTTATGATTCCGCACACCAATGAACTGGGACGGTCAGAAAGACTTAATAGGGAGAAAGGGCAAGTCTTTACCTGTGACTGCCTCTAGTTCCTCCAAGACTGGTGTGGGACAAACCTGAACAGAAGAGGCCTGTTACATCTGGAAGAGAATTGCTGTATGCTCTTTGAAGCCAGCAAGAAAGGAATGACATATCAAATACACTTCTTTCAAGGACCCCTCCTTGTGTCCAGCTCTACCCAATGACATTCCTGTGGCTTAGCCAATGGATTTCGCATTCCCTGAGGCCTTTCCCTGGGAGAGGAACTTCGTGTCAATTTATTGAGCATGTGCTAGTGTTGAGTGAGTGCTATCTTGAAGTGATTTGCAGAATGTTGTATGTATTCCTTCCTGCATTCCCAAGGTGTGGTGCACAGGCCAGCTGTGGCATAGAAGCCTTCTGTGTGCAACGCACAGTGGGACGTGTAGGACATGTCACACGACATACACTGAACAAAAGATGTTGATTCACAGGTGGATTTTGTTGTGCATCCCTCACTCTGATGCCCCACAATTAGGTTGCCTTTTCTGAAGAAGTCTTTGGGAACTCAGTTTTGCAGACAGGATGTTTCTCAATGACATGAACCCACAAGGCTATTAATTTTAAGAGGAGACACACAGCATTTATTTCTTCTGGGTGGTTGTTTCTCGTCAGAAGCCAAATGCTATGAGAAGCTCAGCATATGAATCTCTGTTGAGACATTTGGGTGCTGGCATCCCTAGACATTTAACATAAAAGACTACGCAACTCCCAGTTTAAACACATCTCTGTGAGGATGTGAATAGTTCCGTTAGAGACTTGAAGAAACAGCAGAGGACGCTTACAGGCAGAGACAGTAATGATGTGATTTTTGTTTTGTTTTGTAGGTTTCCAGGGTCAGCCTGGCTCGCCAGGTCTGCCAGGTACTCCGGGAACCCCTGGCCTGGATGGTTTGCCAGGTGTACCAGGTCTACAAGGTCAAAAAGTAAGTGTCAGTGGTTGATACTGTTGTCTGTGACTGCCTAAATTAGCCAGAATGTGTGCAAAGATCCTGCTTTAAAAAAAAATAAATAATGGCCAAACTGTCCTTCATTTTATGTTTCTCACTATGCACAAAAAGGAGAAGAGTAGGTGGGTGAATGCTTGACATTAATGCAAAAGGGCTTATGGCTCTGCCCTGAAATCGTGTGTAGCGCTCTGCCTCTGAGTGATTTAAATACAGTCAGTGAATGAATTCTTGGTTTTGATGTGTTGATTCCCAATCGATTGTGTTTCTTTGGCTAGGGCGAACCTGGTGTAGGTCTCCCTGGCCCTAAGGGATTGCCAGGCGCCCCAGGCCCAGCTGGCATCCCTGGAGAAAAGGGAAATCCAGGACTGCCTGGCTTACGTGGCGAGCAAGGCTTTCCGGGCATACCTGGACAGCAAGGATTCAGAGGTAACGTCGCCGGACAAACACAGCTCTGTATTTCTGCTTCTCTTTTAAAGTCACTTCTCCGCAGATGCAACAAAAATTCTATTCATCGCTAAGACACCCCGCTGATATCTTGTGTTGCCCTTTTTCCCTCTCAAATGCGAGCAGCATAAGAGCAGCCCTTCCTCCGAGCCCAGGCAGGAGGTGGCAGATGCTGAAGTGAGCTCTTGTTGGCCGAGCACTTCCAAAGCACCTGCTCTAGCACCTTCGGCCAGCGAGTTTTCACCCCACACCGGAGGACGCTCGGTCCATGTGTCTGTCTCCCCGCAGGTGACCCCGGCCTTCCAGGACTGCAAGGCTTGCAGGGCCCCCCGGGCGCGCCGGGGCTGGGCCCACAGGGATCACCGGGACCCGCCGGGCAGCCGGGACCCCAGGGACCGCCGGGTGAGAGGAAAATACTCCTGTGATGGTGCTTGGGGGGGGACTTCTGGCGTAAATGGGTGTAGGCGTTGGTAAAAGCGTTGCTGGTGAACTGTTTTGTGGTGTGAGGTCAGTGGGGATGTGCAGGGGAGGATGTTGGTGGGCCTCCTCCATCTGGTCCAAAACGCAGGGTGAGGCCTCCTGAGAAAACGCCTGCCATTTTGTTCAGTCTCCTCAGGTCATCAGTGGGTAATACATAGAGGATCAAAGCCTCACTTAGAAAATGAGGTCCATTTCTTGAATATCTCCAGAGAAGGAGACTCCACAACCACCCTGGGCAGCCTGTTCCACTGCTCCGTCACCCTCAGAGGGAAGAAGTTCTTCCTCATGTTCAGACGGAACTTCCTGTGCCTCAGTTTGTGCCCATTGCCCCTTGTCCTGTCGCTGGGCACCACTGAAAAGAGCTTGGCCCCATCCTTCTGACACCCACCCTTCAGATATTTGTAAGTATTTATTAGGTCCCCTCTCAGCCTTCTCTTCTTCAGGCTGAACAAGCCCAGCTCCCTCAGCCTCTCCTCATAGGAGAGATGTTCCAGTCCCCTCATCATCCTTGTAGCCCTCCGCTGGACTTTCTCCAGTAGCTCTTCATCTTTCTTGAAGTGGGGAGCCCAGAACTGGACAGAGTACTCCAGATGAGGCCTCACTAGGACAGTGTAAAGGGGAAGGAGAACCTCCCTCGACCTGTCTGGCTTGGAGTCTTCATTCTTCCTGCTATGTAATTTCTGAACCACAGGTGGACATCATCAGATATTCCTGTTAACGGTGTTCCTGTGCTCCGTTAAGGACTAATCCAGTGTCTTCTGTTTTTCCTAGGATTTCCTGGAATAAAAGGAGAAAGGGGCTTCCCTGGTATCCCAGGTCTAGACATGCCAGGACCAAAAGGGGATAAAGGTAGCCAGGGCCAGCCCGGAGTACCAGGGTCTGTGGGGTTACCTGGCCTACCGGGTCCACAGGGGGCTGTTGGACTGAAAGGATCATCAGGTAAACATCTTTTTGCTCGGAAACCAGCATCTTTGACAACTGTGTTATTAAATTGTGGTAGCATGCCCCTTCACTCGGTTAGGAATTGATCCATCAAAGAGTCCGAGCTTGGGAAAACACACGGGCTGACGTCAGTAAAGCAGCTCTGTGCACGTGTAACTGAGCTGCTGCTTCAGTCCTTTGGTGGATCAAATTGAGCAACTTGTAGGAACTAGCCTTTAGCTTGTAATAATGAAGGGCAATTATTCTGCACAGCTTTGGTGACAGAATGTGGTTTTAATAATGCCTTTGTTAATGACAGCATTGTTTACTGCAATAGGAATTTTTAAGAATCTGTCAACAGCCCATTAGAAACTCCATTTTATTCTGCTTTTCATAATGCTGTTTTTACTGTTGATTTCTCTATTATGCTTTTTTAGATTAATCATCTTCTTTGTCCCATTTTTCCTTAAGTAGTGCAATTCTTAATACGACAGGGAATAAATAATTCCATTTCTTGTACATCTTTACACTGCTTGCTTTATTTCTCTTATTCACTCTTTCACTTTGGTTTCAGGAGCTAAAGGAGAAATGGGAGTTATGGGAACTCCTGGATTGCCAGGGACTCCTGGACCAGTTGGAGATCGAGGGTTTCCTGGTGAAAAAGGTAAGAAAGAAATTTTCTCAAAATCAAAATTGTAAAATCCATCTTTTACTGGCAGAAGACAAGTCTGGAAACAACCAAATACAAGGAGTGTGCTTGGCTTCAGGAATGTTTTATGTCAGGTAACTTGCCTGTAAGTTAGAAATAGTGTAATTTAGAAAGCCATATACTAGGAGCAGTCATGTATTTGGGCACCAAGCCACAATTTTTGATCCGTTCTTCAACAATGTAAGGGTTTATTAGGTGCAAGGATGCTATAGGTATTAGTCCAAGAAAAATACCATGTTTGAAATTATAAAAAGCCAGCAGGGAGGTCTTAATTAAATCCTTCAAATAATGCCCTGTATTACTGTCAAACTTCTGTCTCTGTTGTTTTGAGAATCTAAAATTAATGGCTGTGAAGCAGGAAAAAATGTCAACTTTTTTGACGGAGCTATTATGAAGTTTTGGTATAAAAAAGCATAGTAGGAGATAAATGAGATGTTCCAGAACATGGTATTCAGTGCTCAGAATTTGAATAAATAGCTAATTTGATTTGTTGTTGTCTACTAAATATTTTTGCAAAGTTTTATATGCCACTATAATATTCTGTGCTATCTCTTTATAGGTAGCCAAGGTTTCAGAGGTTTAATTGGACCACAGGGTGATCCTGGTGTCAAAGGGGATAAAGGTGAAGCCGGTCTCCCAGGAAAACCTGGAACAATGGACAACATGGACATGGTTAGTCTTAAAGGCCAAAAGGGAGATCAAGGAGAAAAAGGTAACTTTAGTCTCTAACTGTGTGATAAACCCTCGTATACTATTAGGCAGCAATGCTTTGAGTTCAGTTGTATCTTAGTTTTAGACAACGGGTTTTTAAAATAAGATTAAAGAATTTCACACAGCAAATGCAGATATTTTTCTGGTATCTTTCAACTCCGTAGAAACAAAGATTAATCACAGACAGAAAAGGTTTTGCTTGGATGCAAGAGATTCAATTTGCCCTTGTAAAATCCATTTCATCTTTTGTCAGAAGACTCTCTGAAAAGATAAGAAATTTTAAAAGTGGCAGCTAGAGCTTGCCAGAAAAGAAAAGCTGTGTTTAATATAGAACATGTAGTGGAAACATTGTTGTGGTCGTAAAAACCAACTGATACTGTAAGAAAAAGTGGGCAGCCTTTTTTGGCACACGTTTCTTTGCAACCAGAAGAAATTTCAGGAAAGACACACGTGTATGCCACTGATACCAAAAGATCAACTTACGTCAGTTTAGAAACATCTGGAAATGTGCAATAGAAAGGCAATCAGCTTGCTATTTAGAAATTTAATGGTGGTAGAGATACTAGGTTTTTTAGACAATGCATTCTTCTTTGGATTTTTACTGTTACATGAAAATTTAGTTGTTTAAGACCATTGTCTCTCCTGTTTTTCTTTTCAAAGAAAAAACAGTGTATATTTTATGTATTTTTATTATTTGTCCATTTTTATTATGATTTACTTTTTATTAAAACATCCCACAAGAGTTTTTAAAGAAATTAGAACAGTTTTAGCTGAAATAGAACTGTAGGGCTGAGAAGGGAGCTATGGAGTAGTAGGTTTTCAATTCCTTCAGTCAAATCCTTCAGCCTTTTATTGTATATCATGTTTTCCGAAATAGTTATGATTCTTGTTACCCTTTCTGACTTCTCCCCAGTTTGGCTGCATCCTTGTTAAAGTGCACTTTGCTGAAACAAGCGAACCACTTCAGCTCAGGCCCTGCTAGAACGAAATTTCCCTTACTCAAAACAACAGCTGACTCAGTTTGTGATTAGCTGTAATCCTTAGTCCTTTACTTCTGGACTGCTGCCTGTGCAATCGTTTTTCATTTCCTATGCATGCTTTTGACTTGCTGTGGTGTATTACACTTCTTAAATTTCATGATGTTGGATTTCAACCTTTACTCCAACTCTTCAAAACCCTTCTGCAGTCTTAATCCCATCCTCTTTTCAAGCCTTTCCAGTTTAGTGTCATCTGTACACTTCAGCAATGTGTTCTGTCTTGGGCCCAGGACAGGACAGAGCACCTGAGACTCCAGTTTGGCAGTCAATCACCAATAACTATACTGTGTTGTATTTGAACTGTGGGAACAGGAGAGTTTCCCAGTCTGGGTGGCTCTTAGCTCCATGTCCTGACTACTTGTCAGAATGAGACCTGGACTCGTGTGTCCTGGCTGTGTCTCAGAGAAACCTGGGCATGTACATAGTGCCTCCCAGCTTGGACAGCCAGGGACTGCAAGGGAGAGCCGGAACAAGTGTGGAATGTGTCTGCCTCTAAGCTGAGATGCAGCTTCTGAGAGCACTTTTGTATTTGGTGAGGCTCCCAGCCTATAAAGATTTCATCTAGATTAATTTTTCTCATTTGTTTCTGATCTTGATATATAAGGTGGTATGAAAAGCCTTAAAACAAATCCACATAGGTTGCTTTTTATTACTTTCTTAACTACTGTTGGCCTGTAGGTTGACTGATTGTTAATTAGTTTTATTTCCTTTCCAGAAATATAAATTAGACACACTGGTTACATGCATATAAAAATGCCCAAGCTCAGCAATTCGAATGGTTAATTTCTTTAGTTTCTAACTTCTTCATCTCTCCAGCACTAATAACGCACACTTGCAAACTTGTATGCTCTGCCTTTACCTGATCCCACACGCAGTCTGCAGATTGGCCTGGCTCACACAGCCTGGAAGGGTATGTTCCAAACAGACCCCAGCCTGCAAATTTCTGCTGTTATTCTGCCAATCTCATCTTCTTCAATCCAGAGATACTTAGTACCAGCAGAGAAAAATAATAACCCAATTCTGCTCTGTAACTTTCTGGATCTATTAGCCGTCTTCATCTCTCTAGGCATGAATATCACAGTAATGTTTTAAAAAGCTTCTAAAATACAAACTCTGCACAAAAGGCACAGTATTATTACGGAAGATTGTCAGTGATGTTTAATGAAAAAAATTGATTTTGGACATTTTGGGATTTTTTTAATAAAATCTTCTTACTTAAAAGCATTGTGCGAGCAATCTTCAGTAACCTGTCGTCCTGCACCTATATGCAATGATAACAGAAAGGGTTATGACAAAAAAACCTTGGACCTTACAGCTGGAAAAGAGGCATGCCACAGAATAAGAGGTGGAGCCTTCTGGAATGATGAGTATGCTTTAACATTAGACAGAACTGAGGAAACAGCAAATTTCTGGCTGTGAACTGGTTGTTCACATGCACCTGTTTAGACAGCAGATCAGTCAAATCAATCATTTTTGTTAACACCTGATATTGTCTGTCACTTCTGAAGTAAGTCATTACACATGTTCATTTGCAGTCTCTTTTAAAGATATTACTTGCCTTGTGTTTTGCACAGACACCTGTAAAATTGTAATAGGTTGCAGCCTTTCCTTAGCACTGGTTTAGTAAATGTGGAATTTTACTGTGTTTTACTCAAGTGTGACTCTATTGTAAAATGCCTGAAGCTTGAATTGAGCCATTTCCTTGTTCAAGAAGGGTTATTATATAGCATTACAGTAAATTTTGATAAAACTGGTCTCGCTGTGTTTGTTTTCTTGGTGTCCAGGGGACCACGGAGCAACAGGAGAAAAAGGGTTACGTGGGGAATATGGAGAACCAGGAATTCCTGGAAAGGATGGTGAACCTGGTACTCCAGGGCATCCAGGTATGTCTGAAGCTAGCAACAGAGACACTGTTCATCAGGTATTTTAAACCACATTAACTAATGGGACTCTTCATTTCTCTGCTGTCTGTAGGACCAAAAGGTGATCAGGGCCCCCCAGGGTACCCAGGCGATCCAGGAATTCCAGGACAAAAAGGATCGGTTGGTGAAATGGGTTTGCCAGGTACTGATTGCTGGGAATTTCTTAGCATTGTTTTCCTCAAGTTAATATAGAACATTATGAAAGACCTGTATGGAGGATTTGTTGGGGTAGATCTACTAAACGGTCGCGCTGTTTATGTTATCTGAACTTTAGGCTTTGGGGACCTTGCTTTCTCAATCCTATTGTGATATACAAATAATAGGATGGTGTCCTAAGTTTCTACATGCAAATTCTTCAGCTGAATGTGTAGGATTTGAGTATTTGTTGCAGACAGGCAGTTTTTCAAGTGATATCTGCCTGTCTGTTGCTGTATCTGCAAGCCTGTGAACTTCATTGAGCTTCTTGTGTATTTTACCCCTTCTAATGAGTTTGGTAAGTTGCTGTGTACTGCTTGTTAATTATGGACTGTAGTCGTCTGGGAAGAGCGTTGTTGTGGAGAGGACTGGTAAAGAACAGAATGGAGAACCCATGTCACAACATGGAACCTTTGTCTCCATTCAGATGGCTTTGTGCCTAGCACATTTTATTTAGGAAATCGAAGGTGAAAGGCTGAATGGTAAAGGGGGACAGAAAAATTTGCTAGAGCAGAATCCCTTTGTCACTGTGGTCATGTAAGAAATTACTCAAATCAACACAAACTTTTATTGAAATCATATTTTTAGTAAGAGCTCTATTTACTCCGTATCCAAGATTCTGACCTTCTCTTATGAGGAGAGCTTTTCTTCCCATAAAAAGTCCAATTTAGACAGTGAATCTCAGAAGTTAATTTACTAGCTCTTTTAGTGAGTTACATTGTTTTTCTAGCTCTGAATAGCTAAGGCAACACTGAAAAATCATTGTCAACACTGCTAGGTTGCCATTAGTTCTGAAACACCCATTTTTCCTTTTCTCTTGCTAGGAACACCTGGAGAAAAGGGTCTGCCGGGAGTACCAGGTTCGCCAGGCACACCAGGGTTCCCTGGGCAAAAAGGTGAAAAAGGAGACAAAGGAGCACCAGGTTTTCCCGGAATTGGCTTTCCAGGGTCTCCTGGTGAGAAGGTATTTACATCCCTGAGGATTTAATTGTCTGTCTCTACGAAGTACCTCATTTGAAAAGATGCCTTTGGCCTTTAAGCTATTTTATTATATTTTCTATTATTACGCTTATTTAAATACCTGATGAGAAACTTGAAAGATGTGCATATGCGCAGGTTTAGATGCATTCTGTTTGATGGTACCATTATCTCCAGGGTTATTATTTATTCTGTCTCTTCAGAACAGGCTAATTTACATTGCTAGAAATGTGGGGGAGGGGAAGAACTTTTAAAAATACTAAGTAAATAAAGTGAAAAGGGCTTCTTACAAACAGAGCAAATGATCACACTGAAGTAGTGTTTCTGTACTTTTACAGAGATACTGGGAAGCTGAAAAAGCCTATAAAATGCTCAGATATTACTGAAAAGATGCTACTGAGAAGTATTAATACTGTCTGTAAAGTTAATTTAATCTCTAATAGTATTCTAATACGATTCTCATTTGTTTCACATTCCTGAATTTATAAGTAAAAATTGTAAAAATGAAACTTACTAATGTGGTAGCAAATTTGCTGAAGACTTAAAAAAGATTTTTTTGAAGATGATTAAGTGTAATAAGTAAGTTGAGGCCAATTTGGAAAAGACTTTGTAAAAACCATCATAAAAATGCATAGAAAACTATTCATTTTCATATGTAGTTATTAAGCAATTATTAGAAAAGTCAATAATTCTGATAGTGGAATTTAATGCTAAATTTAATCCTAAATTACTTTGTTTCTAAGTGGAAAAAGAATTAAATTCCTTATAAGCCTGATGGATAAGGGATGACATCTACCACTGCAAACAGAACAAGCTGTTTCAGAATTACTGTGTGGATTTTATAACGTGTGCTGCTTCTTCTAGGGAGAACCAGGAAGAACTGGTAGTCCAGGTTTATCTGGAGATAAGGGTGAAAAAGGTAGTGCCGGAATTCCTGGAATGCCGGGTGTCCCAGGTCCCAAAGGATCCCCTGGCATGGCAGGATTTCCAGGCAAGTGTTTATGCTTTAGTAAAACAGAAACTGCAGTGAAAATATATGTCAAACCTACACCAAATATCCTGTATGTAAACCCATGTCTTCTTGCTTTTTTTAGGGAGTCCTGGCCGTCATGGAGAAAAGGGTGAAAAAGGACTTCCTGGCTTAAGTGGCATTCCGGGTTTAAAAGGAGAACCAGGTAGAAAAGCAGTATAAAACATCAAATATAAAACTTAGATTATTGTTCACCTCCAGGCAGTGGCTAAAACAAATACTGTGTCATTCTACATTCATTTTGGCTCAGATATTTCCTGATACGTTTGATTGTTTCATAAGCAAACAACCACAGTGCCGTTTCTGAGGTAAATCTGAGTCAGTGTTGTGTGGGGATAGTGCTTTTGCACTGTTTGTGGAAGGGATTTTACCCCCTTGTACAAGGCTGATTATTGCTGTAACTGTTAGTGCTGTTGCTTTTGAGTGCGTTTAAAAACAATAAAGTTGATTCATGGGCCCAAACCTGAATCACCATGTTAACATCATTACACAGATGTTAAAGAGGAAACAGGGTAGGGAGGAGAGTGAAGTCCATTGCTGTTACAACTATAAAAACATTTCTGAACTTGGAGCCTTGTGTTCTTAGTTTATTGGCTGCAGGGCACATCATCTCATTGGACAATGGGCTGTGCTACTCACAAGTCTTTCCTGGAGTTCTCAGTGCAGAACTCACTGGTACTCATGATAATTAGCTATGTTAAAATCTGTAAGATTTGAGCCCTGTCTCACACTAATTTAATTCAGAAGTAATCTCAGAGAAAAGTCACACTGCAGTTGTCATGCAGTATCTGTGGTAGCAAAAGAATAAGTTAAGCTTTTCTTTAAAGAAAAAAATGTGTTAAAGAAAAAAAAGTCAGGTGATTCATAGGTGAAATGAAAATGGCAATGATTTTTCAGGTGAACCTGGTGTTCCCGGTCCTGCTGGTTCCATCGGACAGAAGGGTGAACCAGGTTATGATGGGATTCCAGGTGCCGCTGGTGCAAAGGGTGAACAAGGTACTGTGACTGTCATGTTAAGTCTGTGTGGTACAAAAATGCACGGAGGCAGGGTACAGAATATTAGCTGGCAGAGGGGTGTGCTGGGTTTGAGGTGCTTTGGATGGAACCTTACAAAATGAAGTTAGTACAGTGTCTTGCAGACTACTGACTGTCATCCATCATTGTAAAGCTGTTCATTCACATGAGCAACTGTGCTTAATCAGTGTAATCTTGAAAGAGTTTCTTTCACAAAAGCTGGCAATACTTTAAAGAATTGGTGTGCTTTGGAATTAATTTCAGATTGCAAGTTAGCTGTGAAATAATGGAGCAGGCTTGCCTTTTCTTAGGGTAGAGTTTTCAGTCATGCAGGACCCATTGTGCTAGATACAATGGCAATACATAACAAAGTCAGTCTCTGCCCTGAAGAACTTTTGCATAAACCATTTATTTAGATTTTGTATTTGCTTAATAGAGTTTTGTTCATTATAGGTAAAATTTATCCCATTTCTATTTTTTTTTTCTAATTTTTGGCTGCCTCTATATTACAGGCATTCCAGGTAGAGGACTTCCAGGATTTCCAGGTGCAAAGGGAGATAAAGGTAAAACACTTCTTTAAACAAGCAGCAAACCTCCCTCACAACATACTATAAACATAATTCTGTAATTCAGACATACTTTTTACTTCCTTCTTTTACATGCAATACCTTTTCAGAGCAGGCAAAAACTCTGAGAGGCTCAAATACTAATTTCTGTTACAGTGGCAGCATCTTGGACAGGAGTTAGATATGCCCTAAAATAGGTAATTATTCATAGTGTGGAATTTACTGCAAGCTGTGCTGTGATGAGGTAATATAAATAACTCCTGTAGTTGTGTGCTGTGCTTTCGGCTCTAAATATTTCTGTTTTCCTACTAATTTTGCAAGAATCAAAGTCTAGTGAGGCTCTGTGCACCAGACAGCTAAAAATAGTAGTTTCCTGGCGAGGATACTGCAGTAATTTTTTTACCTGAGTCTGTTGTGCAACCCAGATGCAATTTTATTAAATGCTAAAATTGTTATTCTCTGTAGCTCAGTAGAGCATGTCTAAGCTATGCACAGGAGCATGGTGCAGAAATGCAGAAGATAGCAGAGTCCTGATGAGATGTTACTGAAAACTGTTGTTACCTGCACTCAGGACTTTTTAGCTTGAGTACAGGCACGTAGCTATCGCAATTTCAAGACTACTTATGGTCTTCACAAAGTGCATCACTACACCGTACTGTGAGAACGGCTTGATTGGCTTGAGTCGGTGCTTGTTCAAGGTGTCTGTAATGCACCATGCTCCATTTTATGAAATAAGTATGCCCTAGACCTAGATTGCGATAGATACAGTGATGGAGAAATATCGAACTGCTGCTGTGAAAGGAAATCATGTACAGTTAAAGGATTTTCAATTTTAAACATCCAGAATACAAAAAAGATTCAACTAGTCCATCTACGAAGTTAACAGAACATGGCAGATTTTGAAGAACTTCTACAGCTTGAAATATCAATGCCCTACCTCACTCATTCATTCTATAAATACAGGAAACTTGTGTGGACAATCAAAAGTGATAAACCAGATTTTCAGAATGTCTTTTATTTACCATCCCAGAGTAATTAACAGTCATTAAATTGCTGAGAAAGCCCTAATGTTACAGAACTTATTTTAATAAGCAGATTTTCCAATGGGAACTCAGTAAGGCATGAAAAATGCTAGATTATGAGAGCACTTTTCTCGCCTCACCCATCTCTCTCATTTTGTCAGCACAGCTCATTTAAAAATATCTGGTTTTAGAGTAAATAGATATCCAACTGACATAAATTGTGTTCAAATGTATTGTAGTTTCAAAAAAACAAGTCCAGGATTGAAAGACCCTGTTCTGTTTAGGCAAAGAGCCAGGGATAGTGTTCTTTATACATTTTATTTCTCTTATTATTATACTTATATCAGCTAATCTATATTCTTTTTCTTTAATCATGATCTAAAATTTGATGAACTGTGAATGTTAACTATTTGTACAAGCCTGAAAGTAAGTACTAAGTGTTAAAATCTAGATCTTAGTAAAAAAAAAAAAAATCCCTTTTTGTCCAGGAGCAAGTCCTTTTGTGTCAAACAAAACATCTATTACTCAGATATGACCATAATAATTGTAATGGAGTAAGGGTTTGGGGGCTTTATGTTCCTTGTGGAAGGATAGATGCTGAATGTTCATCTATTTTTAGAGTGAATTAAAATAGCCCAATGATCAGTTTGACTGACAGCTTTTCGTAGCTAAACTACTCTTTTCCTCATACTTTCTGTGATAATGGAGAATAATACAGTTTTCCTAAAGTTTAGCATACTTATACAAATGTATAAAGGCAAGGTCAATATTTTCTTAAGGAAGAAAGCTTGCTATGAGTAGGTAATGAGGCAAAAGGTTTCAGTGGTTGCGGTCCTTTCTCTAATCATGTTTTGGGGATTGTTTCAAATCTTAGGTGCAAAAGGTGATGTGGGCTTTCCAGGATCCCCAGGAAGTCCGGGGATCCCAGGTCTGAAAGGAGAACCAGGGTATGCTGGTCCGCCAGGCCCTAAGGGCAGCCAAGGTCTTCCTGGACTACCGGGAAGTGCGATTGAGGGCCCTAAAGGAGACAGAGGACCCCAAGGCCAACCTGGCCTTCCAGGTAATTCTTTATCTTTTTAGTATTAATGTACTGCTGTTAATCAAAGCTCACTTAAATAATCAATCATATAATCAATATTGCATATCCTTATTTATCATCTTCTCGGAGATCAGGGAAAAGCTCCCTTTCGTAGGCAGTTTGGTGTTAGTCCTAGAACAGGCTGATTTTATGTCCTCAGGCAGTTGGTTTTGTCCAGAAGTCTTTCTGACGTTGAGGGATTTGCCTCCCATTTCCATGTGTCTCCCTCTGGACTTTATTTACTGTTTCGAGGCAGCCATGGCTTATGACTTATGTTCCTGTGTCCTCGAGTGTTACTGTACTTAAAAATGGCCTTACCTTGGCAGTGGCCCTGTGCTGGAGGTTAAGAAGAAGAGTAGAGCAGAGCTGCAATACGTCTCTAGCACGTTCATATCTGAGAACATGCCATCTGTTTCTTCTGCACATACAGAAAACTATCCGCTCTTTTCCATCAGCCACAGGCTGATGTGTTACAGGTGTCCATTCAGATGAGGAGTCATACAGACTTCCCTGCAACAGATGCTCCTGCTTATCTTCTTGAAATCTTGTTGCGATAATTACTTTTGTTCTGCCCATCTGTAGATTTAGCCAGCTCGTCCTCTGTCAGGTACTGCTCTGAACAAATTTAGCCACTAAATACTCTCTTCTGGTTTGTAGGTTTACCGGGTCCAACAGGGCCACCAGGAACCCCCGGTCTAAAAGGAGCCAAAGGAGAGCAGGGGAGCAATGGCTGGCCTGGGACTCCTGGAGGTCCAGGGGTCAAAGGTGATCCAGGTTTCCAGGGACTACCAGTGAGTTACTATCAGTACACTCCAGATTTGCTGAAAGCTGGTTCTTGTAATTAATGGATATATTAATCATACTTGATTCTCGTTCAAAATAATGATACTTTATACTCAGAGTGCCTTTGGACTCACTGCTGATGATGTCAAGTCAGCTTGAAAACATTTCAGTTCTCTCCTTTTAAGGGCTGTCTATGAATAAGCTAAGAATAAGTGAGCTAATGAACTTATTAGAAATTTATAGATAGTGGTAACATACAACACTCAGAATATAATTTACGGTGTATTAACAGGACAGGATGGCTGCAGCACATCCATAAATCCCGCAAATGCATTAGTAGTTAATTTTAAAGGTTGCATATTTCACGATAAATTGCCTTCTGAAAATACCTGAACTGTTTGGGTTTGTTATGAAACCTTTCATATAAAGTGCACTTTCAGTACTGTCAGTGATGAAATATAGCTGCTGATTTAGAAATACAAACAGGCAATGCTATTAATACATTGTTGTCATATATTATGAATGTTTCCTGATCTAAAACAGTCCCTTTTCTGTGTGTTAGGGAGAGTGAAGTGGAATAGGACAGTCACCCAGAATAGTTGGTCTTCTATACTCTTTCTCTGAGTGTCTACTGCCTTTTTCCGCATGGAAAAATACACTCTATATTTTAAGTCTTCATTTCCTCTTTCCTACTAAGAAAATAATAAGAATAAAATTTATGATAGAAGGAGTAAGAAAGTAGGTAGGTATGACTCAGCAATTCCTAGTGTACAGAAGGAAGGAAGACTCAGGAATAAGTTCTGAATGTGAAAAGTAAGATAGTGATAGTGAACTTAAAAGGTCCGCATTGTTCTTGATAACGCAGAGATCTACTGCATCCTTTTCTGCATCCAGGAATCACTTCACAGAGACAGTAAGGATTTGCTTCAGTGTTCTGACACTGGAACTTGGCTATATCTTTTTCACTTTGAGATCATATCATATATCATATCAGCCTGGAAGGTAGTAAATTTGAAAATAACATTCCAGTGTATTTTCCCCTAGTTTAAGAATTTGCAATACTTCTGCAGAGAGCTAAATTTCTGTACTACAGGAAATTCTAAAGGTCTTCACAGGTTTCTGTTCCAGTTGAAGACTGTTTTTCAAGAATGGGAGATGCCAAAGAAAATGTTTTACTGTCCTTGAGCCACAATGCTTAGTGTTGGGTTGTTAACTCGGTGTGAAATGCTCCAGTGAGTTATTTCAATATTAAATTTCCTCTGGTGATACATACTATGATGGGTTTCTAATGTCTTTATCCTTCCCAGTATGACAGGCTTCTGCCCTGATTATAGCTCACTTGCTCATACAGGTCTCCAGGTACATGGGAACCTGTATCAGAAAGGAGATTTTGTTACAACATGGGTGACACAGCCTGCCCAAAAACCCTATCCAAAAAACATGAATGCAGAGATGAGACCGTGAAATACAAATCCCATGGATTTATCTGTGCATTGTAATGTTGAAATGAGAACAGAAACATTTTCATCTTTTTCACAAACTGAAATAGTTTTGTTTTGTTTGGAACAGGTCCAAAACATAATGTTGTTTGCTAAGCTATATCTGATGGGGGAAAAAAGAGAAAGTTTACGAATCTGCATACTGTTGTGGAAAAAATATTTTGATGGAAAGCTTCCAATAAACTAATCATATAAAGCATTCCATTTTACAATTAGAACCTAAAATGTTATTTAAAAAAACCCTTTTGATGAGATTGTCTGCCTGTTGACTGTCTTCTGAATGAATGTTAGCCCTCCTGTTCAGTGCTACAGAAGTTCACACATTATGACACAAAAAGAGGGCCATTTCTTTAAACAATCCTGCATACTCTGCGACTGAAGGAAACCAGGGAACCTTACTTCATTAATACCTCCCTTACCACTCCGAGGGTAGCATTTCTTTTGTGCAACTTTGGAAGTCTCACTGTTCACATCCATTTTTGAGCTAGTCATCTCTTCTCCCTTTATAGTCAATGGAAAGAATTAGCCATATATATAAATATAAACATCTAACTTACATCAAATGAAGAATCACTCCTGTGTTTGTCTATTCTATTGCTCTCTGAATATCATGAGATGAATTCTACCATTGGTATTATTTTTCACTGAGTACTCACTTCACATTTCCAACGGGATCTCTCTCTGATCGGGAATTTAATTCACAAAGGGATTTTGTTTCTTTCCTCCACCCGTGTTCCGCTTGTTGTTACATAGGAGACTATCACTGCCTTAGTGCTCCAGACCGGAGTTAGGAATTAGCCAGGGAGAAACTCTAAACTATACTTACAAGCTTTTTGCAGGTGATCTGCAACAGACCAAGAAGAAAGGAAGTTGGCAGTCGCTTAAATGACTGTTTACAGTGTCTTTTGAAATCTGGGCTTGGCTTTCCTTGAAGTGAGGCTACGATAAGCTTGTTACCATTCATTTCAGAGGAGCAGTTTATAATAGTGAAGACAGAAGGAGGAGTTCACATTGTGTTTGAAGTCCTTGAGTCCTCAAGTATTTTAGCCCTATTGAAAAGTAAAAATCTTCAGAGGATTATAAATTGTTGAGCACAGTTAATTTCATTCCACATGTGAATGTAGAGGTTTTCAAGTCTGCTGTGGTTTAGAATTACCCCATTTAATTATCTAACTAGCAAGCACCTGCTGGGGCTGCACTGAAATTAGTATTTGCTGATATTTGTGCTTACTGGTGTTTTTCATAACAGTATTGTCTAAGGTTGAAGACCTTTTTATTAGCTATATTGTTAGTGAGACCTTATTCTGATCTAGTATCTTTGTAATGCAAAAAATAGTTTAGTAAGAACAGTGTCATGCTTGTTCCATTAAGAGAAGCTTCTCATCATAACCATTCCTTAAACTTAACAGCTTTTCTCTCCTATTAATTTTTTTACAGGTTTCCGAAAATACACAGCCCATTTGAGAGTCATATCGTAATAGTGTAGGATAACTATACTTCATATTTTCTTTTATACAGGGTAGTCCTGGTTTACCAGGAGATATTGGTCCAAAGGGTGATCTGGGACCTCCAGGAGTTCCAGGCGTTCCAGGTGAGAAGAAAATTTACCATATTCCTAAAAAGTATGCGAAGAAGTCTCTTTCATATCCTTCCTCTCTCAAAAAAGATGCTCAAAGAATGTTGACTCTGTGTTACAAATTGCTGAAACAGGACATTAAAAGCTGCATCAAAAAGCATACAAGAACATTGAGATTTTTCTCAAGGTTTTTTGCCTTTTTGCCTGTTGTCTTGTTTTGAAAATTTTAAGCATGCACTTGCTTTAAAAGGTGAGTGTAAAATCCATTGTTTAGATATTACCAGTCAAGAATCTTCAAGATTTTCTTGAGAACTAGAGAGGCAAATGCTATAACTGTATTTGAGGAAACATGGGCTCGATATATCTCCATTGTTGACTAAATTGCTATTGCTGTCGCCATCATATACAGGAAAATGCTGCTTGTGTAAAAAATGCAGTTATTAATAGAAAAAAAAATAATTCTTATGATTTAGAGAACAATATTAATAATTAAAGTAAGAGAAATTTGTTTTCAGTCATAATTTCTTTGGTGACTTAGTGTATTTGTTTGTATCTTGTTCTTGAAAACAGTTAAAAAGTACTTGTGCAAATGAAGTCATGACCGTTATGTGATCATGGGGTTGTATACAATTATTCTGCACAAATCTTCCAAATCAAGAAATGACTGAATTTTTGTGTAAATATTTCCTTTGACTTCAGGTCCAAAAGGAACTCCTGGCTTCCCAGGCCTTAAAGGTGAACGAGGTGACCAAGGTCTTCCTGGATCTAAAGGTACAATATAAAGACTTGCTTTTTTTCCAACATGTTATTGTTAAGATGATTATTTGTGACTAGTCAATGGATAACTCCCTCCCCCTTATATTCTGTGTAAAAAGTTAGAATATGAAACCAAATTTCATGGTATCAGCATCTGAATGGTCAGACTAGATTTAATGATTGGGTAGAGAGTGAGTTTTATGTCCTGCTCTGAAAAATCAGTACAGAGGTTTTGTCATTATTAGAATCTTTAAATGGTATCCTAGAACCAGAGAATCATACAGTGGTTTGGGTTGCAAGGGACCTTCAAAGATCATCTAGTCCAACCCAGCTGCCATGACCAGGGACACCTTCCACTAGACCAGGTTGCTCAAAGCCCCATCCAACCTGGCCTTGAACACTGCCAGGGCGGGCCACCAACAGCTTCTTTGGGCAGCCTGTGCCAGTGCCTCCCCACCCTCATTGTAAAAAAATGAAAAAAAAAAAAAATTTCTTCCATAAGTCATATCTAAACTACCCTCTTTCTTTTTAAAATTGTTGCCTCTTGTCCTGTCACTCCAGACCTGATAAAAAGTCTTTGTCCATCTTTCTTATAATCCCCCTTTATGTATTGAAATGCCGCAGTAAGCTCTCCCTGGAGCCTTCTCCAGGCTGAACAGCCCCAGCTCTCTCAGCCTTTCCTGACAGCCCTCAAGTCATTTTTGTGGCACTCCTCTGGACCCACTCCAACATGTCCATGTCTTTCCTGTGCTGAGGGCTCCAGAGCTGGACACAGGACTCCAGGTGGGGTCTCACCAGAGTGGAGCAGAGTAGCAAAATCACTTCCCTCAACCTGCTAGCCATGCTTCTTTTGACGCAGCCCAGGATAATGGTTGGCTTTCTGGGCTGCAAGCGCACGTTGCTGGCTCTTGTCCAATTTTTCATCTGCCTGTATGCCAAAGTCCTTCTCCTCAGGACTGCTCTCAATCCATTCTCCACCCAGCCTGTATTTGTGCCTGGGATTGCCCCGACCCATATGCAGGACTCTGCACTTGGCCTTGTTGAGCTTCATGATGTTCGTACTGGCCCACTGCTCAAGCGTGTCCAGGTCCATCTGGATGGTATCCCTTTCCTGTAGCATGTTGACTACACCACTCAGCTTGGTGTCATCCACAAGGATGCTGAGGGAGCTCCATGCAACCTAAGGTCTGGATAGCTATTCCAGTCCTTGGGAGGTCTATTTGGGTGAAGATGTCAGCACAGACAGGCTGTAGTGCTTCTGTTTGGGTTTCAGCCACAGCCTTGCAGTTGCGTTGGTGGACACCATTTTCTTTCAGCAGCTCACAGTCTCCTTAGAGCTCTTAGAAAAAGAGTCCACTTAAAAAATGGTAGTTCTTTTAAAAGATGTCATCATTCTAATTCCCTGGAGACCTCAAGCTTCTGGGTAGGCTTGCACAGCCATCAGTTAGTTGGCTGTGACTATTGGGGCTGCAGCCTAAGCCTGCTGGTGAGCAGAGGAGGCAGCAGCCTGATAACTAGCAGAGTGTGCAGCTCTTCTGAGCAAACTGCTGCGCAAACTGCTAGTGCCACCCCTAACAGATACCACTCCCTGTATGAGCACCCTGGTCGCAGTGCTTCTGGTCAGAGCCACATCTATGGGCCTGCATTGCCCTGTCTGGTGGGTGATGGGAATGTAGGAGGTAGTAATGTGGTTTTCAGCAGCAGCATGTGCAGCTAGTTGGGTGTTACCAGAGGCTTGTCAGTGGCAGAGGCCCAGCCCAGGCTGTTTCCTGCATTGTGCTTCGAACCCTGTTGTCCTACCCTCAGTCAACTTCAGGTTTGGCTTCTTAACAGGTATGACCCTACTCAATGCACATAGAAAGTCTTGGACACATTGATATCTTGTAGCTGTAGGCTCTGTCTATTCTCTTGCTCTGTCTAGTCTCTTGACTACATAAATGGCAGTGCAAGGTAACATTGTTTTCTCACTTTTTTATTGTGCAATACTAAATACTTGCCGATTTCCTCTGTTAACTTTGTCAGGTTTACAAGGCCTACCAGGCCCACCGGGTCCTTTTCAGCTTGTTAAAGGGGATCCTGGCTTACCTGGCCCTGTAGGACCAGTTGGTCTCAAAGGATTCCCAGGACTTCCAGGTCCCAAAGGACAGCAAGGTGAGTTTCTAACTTGCTAGTAGAAAAGCGTTTTAAATAATGCAAAAATAGACCAATAGTAGGCTAGACACTAGAAGATTTTTGGTATAATATCCAGCTTTTTGTAAGCCACTTAAATTGTGTCAGCAATGAGGAAGAGAGTCCTTCTTTTTGAAGCTCATCCGAAGGAATCCCAGAAACAGACTCCTTCCTAGTGATTTTTTTGTAGGCTCTCACTGTGCAGTTGTCACATCAGTATCTGATATCAGCAGTAAGCAGAATGACTTGCAACACACTGCTCATCCCTTCCTCAGAACGTATTTGTTAGAGTCTTTAGTGTTGAATTCAAACTTCATTACTGCGTGTCTCTGGAAGAAGACAAGCATGAGGAAAAACACCTTGATTTTGGAGTGGAACGTGCTTCCTGAGGAAACTTGATCCATAGTCCTAGATTTCATCTCTTAGTCCAGACACTGTAATTTTTGTAAAGGAAAGGTGAGCTGCAAAAGCTAAACACATTAGGGAATAAGAGAAGGGAGCAAAAGGTAAGACAAATGAAATGCTGGCACAAGGACGCATGTCCTTCAGAATGACAGGACGTGGAGAGTGGGAGCTCAGAGGTGTTCTTAAGCTATTAAGATTCTTAGGGAAAGCTTTGTTGCTGATTGTTTTATGAGAAGATGATGGGGAATTATGGTGGAATGTAACGAATATATTCTTTCTATTTAATGTAATAGTTACGGAAGTTTGCTCTTGGAGGTGGGGTTATAACTCTGCAACTGCTGTCCATTAGGAAATAGCTATGAAACAATGTCAGTGACTGAACAGGGCATGGGTTTGCTTGTATGGCATCTGTCACTGTTCTCTAGCAGTCAATTCAATACGTGAACACGGTATTGCTTTTTGAGTGGTAAGGAAAAGGATAGTTGTGACAGCTTCTGCTGTGTCACAGAAATGTTGGTATGGTGCTGATGGTGTTAACTTCTCTTTGCAAAGTAAGAGCTACTGAGTTTATGTAGGACTCAGAGGATCACTAGAAGTCAATAAAGCGAAGACGTAATATATGTCTGAAAACCTGTTTGGGAAGAAGCCAGGAGAATACTGATTTTGCCACTGCTCATGACCCGGTTTTTATGGTCTGTTTTTGATTGGTCGTATGATAAGCAGAGAGGGAAGAGATTGCTGCCCTTCCTTGTCACATTCCAGGTGAATACTAGTTATTTTAGCAGCACACCCTCGTCTTACTTCTCTGTTCTTCTCTACAATAGTTACTTTGCCTGCAGTAACCCACATATGTGCTCTAGATATTCAAATGTACGCACTGAATCTGCAGGAGTTTAGTTTATGCTGAGGTGTACCTGTGCTGAATGTGTTAAAAGCCAAAAAGTCGGAACTAACATGAAGTAATATCCAGTAATAACTATTCCTTGTTTTTCAACAGGGGTGACAGGACCTTCGGGTGTGCCTGGACCACCTGGTAGTCCAGGGTTTGATGGTAAACCTGGGCAAAAAGGAGAAGTTGGTCCTTATGGTCCCCCAGGTAAGCCCATGAGTTCTTCAAAGACTTGGTTCCTTCATAGAAAAGTAACATAGGAGATTAGGTGTGAATGTATCTAATTTCACTTCTTTAGTTACGGAGGCGGAGTACTGCTGTCTGTAGAGATAAAAGGACACTCTCTGTATTGTAGGCCCCAGAGGATTCCCTGGTCCACCTGGCCCTGAAGGTTTGCCTGGGGCTATGGGCCCACCAGGTGCACCATCTGTTGCTCATGGCTTCCTTGTTACCAGACACAGTCAAACCACTGAAGAACCATCATGTCCATTTGGAACAAGGCTGATTTACCATGGCTACTCCTTGCTTTATGTACAAGGCAATGAAAGAGCACATGGGCAAGATCTGGGTAAGTAGCGACCAAATTAGAATTCCATTAGAATTCATTACAAACCAAGCGTTTCTTTCATTTGCAGAAAAGCATTGAACAAACCTGTGTAATTATTCTTGGCTAGCTGATGCTTTATTACACCTTCTAGGTTGGTAAAAATAATAGTTTGGTGTGTAGCGGAAACAGTGTCAGTTTATTTAAGACAGTCTTCATCAAAGCCTTTGACATGGTCATCCACAGTATCTTTGTAGTCAAATTACTGAGACAGGGGCTGGCTAAGTAGATGATAAAGTGAGTGGAAAATTGGTGGGTCTATCAGGCTCGGAGGGATGTGATCAGGTGTGCAAAGTCTGAGTGGTGGTTGCTGATTAATGATGTCCCTCAGGAGTTAGTACTGGGCCAATACTGTTTAATGAATTAATTAATAACTTGGGTGATGGGCTAGAGTGCACTCTCAACAAGCTTGTGGATAATGCCAGGTTGGGCGGAACAGTGGATTCCCTAGTGGACACAGCTGCCATTCAGAGGGACCTGGCCAAGCTGGAGAAAAGGGCTGAGAAGAACCTCAAGAAGTTCAGTAAAGGCAAATGCAAAGGGGTACACCTAGAATGGAATAATCTCGTGCAACAGAACAGACTGGGGACTGACTGCTGTTTCCAGTAGCAGCAGTACTAGAAAGCTGCTTTGCAGAAACGGACCTGGGAGTCCTGGTGAGCAGCACTGAACAGGAGTTAGCAACGTGCCCTTGCAACAGCTACTCCATTCCCCACTGCCCAGCCTACTGGGCTCTATTGACAAAAGTGCAACCAGCACGTGGAGGGAAGTGACTCTTCCCCTCCATTTGGCAGTTGTGAGACCACATCTGGCATGTTGTGCCCAGACCTGGGGCTTCTAGAACAAGGAAGACGTTGATATACCACGGTGAATACAACAGCTAGCTACTAAGATGCCTAGTGGGGTCTGGACAATCTGATGGAACTGGGTTTGCTCAACCTTAACAGAAATTTAGGGGGAGACCTTAGCTGCTGTCTACAGCTGTCTGCAGGGAGGGTAGAGAAGACAGAGCTGAACTCTTCTCAGAGGGGCTCAGTGACAGAAGAAGCAATGGACACGAGTATGAGATATGTTCCAGTGAAACATCAAAAAAATCTTTTTTAACATGCTGATGCTCAGACACTGGAATGGGACCCCAGAGAGGTTGAATCTCTGTCTTTGGAGAGGCTCAAAACTTTACTGGCTATGGACTCAAGCAACCTGATCTAACTGACAGAGGGTTAAGCTAAATGACCTCTAGAGGTCAATTCCAACCTAAGTTATTCCACAATTCTACAGGCAAGACTGGGCTACCCCTTGCCTTGCCCTGGCAAGGAACTTCCTTCCTTGTGGAGCTAAGGGAATTCACTTCCTCTGAGACAACTGGGCCCTCCAGCGCAAGTGTCGTCTGCTTTTTAGCTGCTCCTGGAAATATTTGTTTGGCAGTTGGCAATGGTTTAACAAAAATGGGTTAGCAAGTAACCTTTCACTTAACATTTCAGGCACGGCAGGGAGCTGTCTTCGTAAATTTAGTACCATGCCTTTCTTATTCTGCAATATCAACAACGTATGTAACTTTGCATCGAGGAATGACTATTCGTACTGGCTGTCCACTCCTGAACCCATGCCAATGAGTATGGCTCCTATCACTGGTGATAGTATCAGACCATTCATCAGCAGGTACAGTTTCAGTTCCACTGTGTTTGTAAAATGAAGAAGGCTGTGAAAAGTGTATATGATACTTTATTTTTTTGGAAAAGGCTTTTAATCTGTATATTTTTATTTCTTGCCTTTAAATTTAACGTTAGAGTTCCTTTGATGAAATGTTTCAAAGTATGCATGTTTTCAGTTTAGACTTTGATCAAAAGTAAAACTGTTTCGGGGGAAACCCAAACAAATGAGTAGTCTATTTTGAGTCTAATTGGAATGAAAAGATTTACTTTGAAATGATGTTTTGCAAAAGCTATATGTACTTTCAAGGAGAAAAAGTTTTGGATTTATTCACAGTACTTGTCCAAAACAGTTCTTTTTTTGACTAGCCATAGCTAGAAGTTTTTTAGGGCTCAGTTTCCTTTTGTTTGAAAATGGCAGCAGTATCTATTATACAGTAGACTGCCAGGCCTCTTCCATTGTTTTGGACATGCTGCTTGAATACAGCCATTATTGTCTGAATTAAAGGATATAGTTGCGAAATCAATCATCTGTATTTTAATAATTCCAGATTCTCAGCTAGCATAATGTGTGGCACTTCTACCAGACATAACTGTTCTGTATCAGTCCAACACGTTGAACTTTTTGGTCCATTTTAAATTTTAAGGCCACTAGCAAAAACTATCCTGGCATAAAATGCCCAGTGCTGAAGGCAGAGGGGTGAGCAAGAGTGTGGTCAACTGTACCACTGTTGTTAGATAAGAATCTGACAAGGGAATCTCCAGTTTAGAATGTAATTGTTAACCATTAGATATAGGCATTACTGTGATGCCTGTTGTTTTTTCTAATCTGTATCAACTCTTGCTGATCCCTTTTGCTGCCATAGAAAGTGAATGGGAGTGGACATTGCTGTTATTGTTTTCTGGGATCTGGATAAACCATCCAAGAGAAAGGACAATTCAGATCATAAGTGGGCTGTAGTCTTGACATCTTGGTGTGTTCAAAAAACTGTTTGTCTTTACTGCAAAACTTTTTATATTTATTTTGCATAAAATAATCCATCTTGTATGTGCAGTTGTACTCTGTACTCCATTTTTCGTTTAGTGCCATAGAAATTTGTATGCCTTGAAAATGAGCAGGCAGATCGAGGGAAAGATTCTCAAGAGAGAGTTTAGTTTTTGTTGGTCTTACTTTTTTGGTTGTTCATTGGAAGTGAATGGAAGGGGCTTGAGTTTCAGAAAAATTCAAATGACAGACCTCAGAAATTCATGTTCCTTTTATGCTATCCCTGATCAAGCAGCCAAAATAGCCTTTAACAATCATTTTTTAAACTCTTGCTCAAGGAGGTACCCAGCAACATTTTGCCTTTTCTTATGCATATGGAGTAGCTTTTGCACCATGAAAATGTTTGTGTATATGTGTGCCTGTGTGTGTATATGGGTTTTTCTCCTTTTAGCCCTAGCAGAGAGTGAGATGATTGTAATACACATTTTTTAAACCAGCAAGGAATCTGAGAAGACTGTTCTTCCAATTTATTTTATTAGCTGAGGCTTTTAAACCAACAATTTTCCCTGACCAAAAGCTGAAAAGGTGTAGAAGCGTTGCTTGCTGCTGTGGGTCATGGGACTTCTTTTCATGTAAGGCCTTCCACTGAAATGCCAGAAATCTCTTGAAGCAAAGCAGAGCTCCAAGAATAGAGGCAGCTTTAGATTCTTCTTTTAACTTACACTTTCATTGATGTGTTTCTTAAAATAACTGTCTTGCTTCTGCACTAAAGATGAAGGCAGTGGGTATGAGAGCAGTCTTCAAAAGTCAGAAATAGAAGGTTTTCATTCTGCATTCCTTTGCTTCTGTGCTTTTTCCAGAATCCACCTTAATCCGTTTTGCACTTGATTCTTTTACCGCTCTGATAATAGGAATCAGACTGTTTAGTTCGAAGTATCTGTTTTGTATCATTTTCATCATTGCGAACTGCAGTGACCAATTTAGGAGCTGTACAAGAAAAAATGGATTGTATCTACCAAATTCCGTATTACCAGCTCCCATATTAAAATTTCCAGCCCAACACATATTTTTTATGATTATCCTGCAAAGGCACGATTGGTCATTGGATTCTTCAGCAGCCTAGCAGTTCTGAGACACAATGAATTTATCTGAAGTGAGAGAACTGGTGCTGCATAGCTTTCTGAAGAGTTGCTTTCAAGTTCATTGTTCAAGTTGCTTTGGTAGAAATCTCTTACTGGAGATAAAGACCACAAAAGTAAATAAAAGCCATGTTCAAGGAAAACACATGGGGAAGAGTCTGCATTAGATCAGATTAGCAATGATTACCTTTATAAGACATTTTCCAGAGAGACGCTTTCTCTCTGGAAGTCACTCAAGGCTATGTTTAGGATGATGAATTGCTGTTACTTGTCTGTGATCACAGCAGACCACCTTTAAGTGATACTTACTGAGTTACAGTGCTTGGCTATTTGCCTCTCATGTTCATGACATTGAGCACTTTTAGAAACTGCAGTACCAATGGGACTAGAAAAAGACAAATAACATTTAAATATTCAGATAAGAAGTCTCTCGTTCTTTGCTCATAGGAAGGCTAATAGGAAGAAGACTTAGTAGTTAAGCTGTCCCCAAGTAAATGAGGAAAAAAAAAGTACCGGTTGGTTGTTTTTTGAAATGAAACATTTTGATTTTCCTTTGCTTTTGAAGATGACAACATTTTCTAATTCAAGATTCATTAAAGAAGGTAACTTCTGAAAAAAGAAGCAGTAATCCTCAAGTGCATGTAGCTCATTCATGTCTTGGTCTTTCCAGATGCTCTGTATGTGAAGCTCCTGCTATGGTAATAGCTGTTCACAGCCAAACAATTCAAATACCACCCTGTCCTGAAGGCTGGAGTTCCCTTTGGATCGGTTACTCCTTTGTCATGGTAAGTGCACCGGGGCATACTGCCAGCTAGGAAAAGCATTTGTTTCAGGCCTTTGATCTGCACTCCTGCTCTGGGAAAGTTAATGTCTGACTATGTCACTTCAGGTCTTAGGAGGACATTACACCTCTGTGCTTTCTCGTGACTTTAAAAAGATTCTGGCTAATTACTAAACGAGAGAAATGCAATAGCAGTTAGTTGTTCACTTTTGGGGAAATGCACACAACTTGCTCTCTTGTTTGCAGCTCCAGCACAGGATCCAAGTGCTGAATAAATGAGGAAATAAGCATAATTTTCCATTGTCCTTCTACATCTATGTTGCAGCAGCTTCCTAGAGTGGAAGCATATCGGTGCCTGTCCTCTTCCCATTTTTAATGACGAATAAGCCTTTGGTTTTCAAAGGGTGTTTTTGACCGTATGTCCTTCAGCTGTATCTATACTAGTAAAATAAATAAGGCCAAGGAGTGGCCTGGAAGAGCCGCTCCGCAGTGCTCCGTAGTGGTCAGTTGTTAGCGTGCTTCCTGTCATGCTTACAGCCTAGATCAACAGCCACTCTCCCAGGCCAGGTCTGGGCATGGTCTGAGGAACAGCAAGGATCTAGAGCTGTTAGCACTCGGCAGTGGGAGAGAGGCCCACTGTGATGTGGGGCAGGAATTGTGTTAAGCTATTCAGATATAAACCACACCAGTCTGTACGCCTTCTGGGCCGGAGAGCTGGCCCTGGCCTGGTGCTAGCATAGAGATAGCTTAGGTCCTACTGTCCGTCCTGAAGGATTTCTGTGCATACAGCTGTCCTGAAGTGGATGTTGCTGGTATGTTGTGCTGCCTCTAAGTGAGAGAACCCAGTGCAACCTCTGGAGCCCTTCAGCTTCACCTGCTTACTCCTCACTGAGCTGAGGAACTGCTTTCTCGTGACTTTAAAAAGATTCTGGCTAATTACTAAACGAGAGAAATGCAATAGCAGTTAGTTGTTCACTTTTGGGGAAATGCACACAACTTGCTCTCTTGTTTGCAGCTCCAGCACAGGATCCAAGTGCTGAATAAATGAGGAAATAAGCATAATTTTCCATTGTCCTTCTACATCTATGTTGCAGCAGCTTCCTAGAGTGGAAGCATATCGGTGCCTGTCCTCTTCCCATTTTTAATGACGAATAAGCCTTTGGTTTTCAAAGGGTGTTTTTGACCGTATGTCCTTCAGCTGTATCTATACTAGTAAAATAAATAAGGCCAAGGAGTGGCCTGGAAGAGCCGCTCCGCAGTGCTCCGTAGTGGTCAGTTGTTAGCGTGCTTCCTGTCATGCTTACAGCCTAGATCAACAGCCACTCTCCCAGGCCAGGTCTGGGCATGGTCTGAGGAACAGCAAGGATCTAGAGCTGTTAGCACTCGGCAGTGGGAGAGAGGCCCACTGTGATGTGGGGCAGGAATTGTGTTAAGCTATTCAGATATAAACCACACCAGTCTGTACGCCTTCTGGGCCGGAGAGCTGGCCCTGGCCTGGTGCTAGCATAGAGATAGCTTAGGTCCTACTGTCCGTCCTGAAGGATTTCTGTGCATACAGCTGTCCTGAAGTGGATGTTGCTGGTATGTTGTGCTGCCTCTAAGTGAGAGAACCCAGTGCAACCTCTGGAGCCCTTCAGCTTCACCTGCTTACTCCTCACTGAGCTGAGGAACAAAACGGCAGACAGACACAACAGAGGACAAGGCGAGGCATGTGAAGAAATACCTGTGCAAGGGAGTTAATAGGTGTTGTAGCAGAAGAGGTAGAGAGTCCCTCTCTGACTGATGCTTTTGCATTTTTCTAGCACACCAGTGCTGGTGCGGAGGGCTCTGGCCAGGCCCTGGCGTCTCCTGGTTCCTGCCTAGAGGAGTTTCGCAGCGCTCCCTTCATTGAATGCCATGGCCGGGGCACCTGCAATTATTATGCAAATGCTTACAGCTTCTGGCTTGCCACTATAGAGAGGAATGAGATGTTCAAGTAAGTTCATGATTTATTTATCAGTATTTCAGACTTAGTCGAGCCTTGTTACTGAATAAGAGAAGTATTGTTTGAATATAATACATGGTTCAAGTATTGGCTGTGCCCCAGCCTGGTTAGTATATACAGTTAATGATTTTCATAACAAAAAGAAAAAAATCTTAATAGCTTTTGGGGGAATTAATGAATGTATCTTCCGTTACTGTTTGCAATGTGTCATTTGTACCTGGTATTTTGCTTTTCAGAGTAATCTAACAATGTTTGCATTTCCACTATGTTTGATTGTATTCACTGAGTCGTAACTGGGATAGGCTGACGTACTGATTGAAATTAAGTTAGAATATAACATTCCGCCTAGTGGATGTTAACACATAATAGAACCACTTGAAATTAGTGCAGGTGTTGAACTAAGTGAGCTGAACAATTATTTACCTTTCCCTAATGTTGGAGGAAGTATGTCTAAATAAAATGCAGCTGACGGCAGAGGCCTTGGGCGTTTCTTCAGTCCTGCAGAGGTTCTAATTTCAGGAATTAAGTGGTAGTAGGCTTTGTTCTGGTCTCCTGCACATGAGTCTTTTTCAACACAGTCTGATTTGTTCCGTATGTATTTTATTAATACGTAAGCATATAGACCAGTTCCCAGGTCTGCATAGCTTACCTGCTTAGCAGACATTCCTCTGGAGTGCAGGCAAGCATCCTCTTCCACTGCAGTCCAGGCTGCTGCTCCCGGTACCCTTCCTCTGGTACCCTTTATCTCTTCCTGTCTGCTAGATCTGTGGATGCTCCCTAGCCTGTCTCGGTCAAACGAAGCAGGTTGTTTAGCCAGTTTTGACTGTTTGTCTGTGAGATACCTGTCAACTGAGTAGGTAGGAAAACTGAGCACTGGGACTGACTGGCGCTGGGGCTGTGATAATCTCATCAATCAGAAAAGTGACTGCTGAAGGAGCCCATTTGCCAACACTGGGGTAAGCAGTGCCTCCCTAGGAAGGAGGAAAGCTGGTCAGAGGAAAATTTAGAGGACTACAGTTGTTTGTATTCATGGAGTCCTACTCAGAGACCTTCAACTTCATACCCTTTTCTGGCTACAAACTGTATCTCAAATTAGTAAAATAACCCCAGATCAGGGGACCTGTCCTACTGTCGTAATTCACAAATACTTATCAGTTTCCTGTAAACTCATAATCCTTTTTAAAGAAAAGCTTTAAATGTAAGCACACTTTTGTCTGAAAATGCTTTATTTCCGGTTGCTAGGAGTAACTCCTTGTGATAGGTTAGAGGCTAAAGATTTTGGTTTGTCTTTCTATATGACATCACATAATTTCCTTTGCTGGCTTTTCATTTTTCTGTAAAGTCACAAGAATTAGCAGAAACTCATGAACAGTCAAATGTCATCAGTCTCTTTGCCTAATTTTTTTTTTTTACTACCCAAATTACAGCATGTTTTCAAGCTGCTGATTAAACAAGTAGTGTCTTCTGGTTAAGAAAACATTCAGCCTTGTGACAGAATTGAATTCTGACGTGACTGGAAGTGGACGATGTTTAAAACTAATCCTGTGACAGTTTGTGACCAAACTTGAAAGTGAATATACATTGGAGGACGTAGGGAACCTGCTTGATTCAGCATAGCTTAAAGAGGCACTGGGCTGCGTGCGAAGTTTGTGTTGTCAGTTATAAATCTGAAAACTGACTGCATCACCAGTTGTTGATGAGTCTTTTCATTTATTTATTTTTAATAGGAAACCGACTCCCTCCACTTTGAAAGCCGGGGATCTGCGCTCAAATGTTAGCCGTTGTCAAGTCTGTATGAGAAAAACATAATGACTTTTGAATTTCAACTAATTTCACACAATATGGTGCTATTCGTTTAACAGCAATGAAGCCTAGACATATATCATATGTACCTCATTGTTGTCCAATATGAAAACAGTAAAGTGCCTTTTAGGAACTTGCATAACTAACACACACTGCTTTACTGGCCCTGTCCTTGCTGAAGAAGAAGAGAGACAACAAAGATAAGCTTCAAATGTTGACATGCCAAGTGGCACTTTTGATCAAAATATATGTATTTTTATATAAATGTAATGCACTGAAAGAATAAAAAGTCAGCATTTATCCAGAAAAAATGCAAAGGTGCTAGGAGGTATGCAGTTCTGCCTTATACTGTTTGACCCTCTTTTCTCATTCTTGTATTATATATTTAGATTCATTTTTCTTCCCCAGATAAGTTTGTTGTTACCGTGATCTAGGCGTCTCAAAATCCCAGACTCTTGGGTATGTACTTATTGTTCCTGTACAAAGCAATACTAATGTAAAAAAAGAGTTTTGGGATTACAGACTGTGGTTAAGCAACATGTGACCATCTTTTCACAACATAGAGTGCCATCCTGCAAGCCTTTGCTTCTGTTTGTAGTCTTTAGTGCTGTTGGTTTGAAGGGGACTACATCTGGAAGAGATCGCCAAGTTGGTTTCACAGATAGGCGAGTGCGTGTTTCTGCTATGTTGGTACTATGCAGCTTCTTTATGCAGTAGAACAAACTTTCCTGTGGAATAAAGAATGATCCAGCAATGGTCAAGAAAAAATATATGTATAAATATTTTAGTAATTTATAATAGATATCAACCATTGGGCAAATCAAGCTCTGAGTTCATCATTTCAAAAAGAAGCTTACAAAACTTTTCTTCTTTTCAGTGTCATGAATTAGATGTTAAATGCCAAAATATGATGTGAAATGTTCATTTTACACAGGCCATTTCAATGCTGAAGTTGCAGAGACTGAACCCAGGTTAATAGCTATTTGTGTTTATTATAGTAAATCCTGCTTTGAGCTTATAGTCTTTATTCTGTATTTAATATTTTTCAGGGTTTTAAACACTACTCACACACTGAATGACTTGATTTTGAAAAGTATAAGGCCTTAATTTTGTTAATATTGTGCCAAAAAAAATTCTTCAAAGTGGCCTCAGAAATATTTCTACAGAGTTTCTATGCAATGATACCGTTGTTTGAGCACATCCGTGTCCAAAAGTGTTTTATAGACTATTACCGTGCAAATACCAAAAGATTTTTGCAAATGCCAAGGCCTTTGTGTAATTTCTTACATGTGTATTTCTTAAAAATTCAAGTTTGTAATAAAACTATTTGTGTAAAAAAACAGAAGAAAAGAAAAAGTTTTTACTAATTTGTTATTAGCATTCATTTACAGCAATGAACTAATTTTTAATAAGCCACCAATAAATGCACAAGCTTGATGCAATCCTAGATTATTTTTGTTTTGCACATCTTTCAGATGTACAAAGCATCTTCAAAGGGGGAAACAGGACACTGTGCTGACGCCTCTGTGGTTGCTCTGTGAGAGCCGGTACCGACAGACAAAACATGGGTAATGCATTGGTTGCTGAAATCTGCTTGATGCAAACGTGTTACAGAAGTCTGCTAACTTAATCTTAGCTCACGGGAAGCAGTCACGTTGTACACATTTTTCACTCTTCCCTTGAATTTTTCATGCACAAATCAGAACTGAGTTATACAGGATAAAAATTAAAATATCTCATATAGTTTTGCAAGGTGAATCTTGGCTGCGGTTGTCTGGAGAGGAAATGGGCTGTGGTATCTTTTTCCTCGGCAAAAGCACGTAATTTGTTTTGGTGTTCCAAATATGTGAAGAGGCTGCTGCTGTTGCTGTTCTGAGCTCCCTTTCACTTCAAATCCTTGAGGACGTTGGCTCACCAAACGACTGAGGGCCCCTGCGTGGAAACTGGCCGTTTCCTTTAGCTCCCATGGAAGTTCTGACAGATGATCATTTTATTTATAAATGACCAGCCCTCACAAAAGCCCCTTACCAGCCTATAAAATACAAGAGCCTGGACATGTCTAATCAGCCTGATGCGGGGCTTTCCGAAGGGCCGCTTGCCATTCAGAAGAAGGGGAGAAGACTGTAGGGTGATGCCTACATTCATTCAGTAGGCTAGGGTAGGGTGATGCCTACAGACGTTCTAGTAGTAGAGAAGGCACTCAGCCTTCTCTGGCTCAGAGGATCCACGCTGCTGCTCAGACTGCTTGGCTGCACGCTACGGCTTGCCTGCTGGTCAGCTGGGGGTTGCGTTTGCTTGGTGGGGATTGTCGCAGAACTGCCAGACAGCTGAATTTGTAATGTCCTGTGTGTATGTATAAACCAAATCTGTGCATAAGCGTCCAATTCCTTTTGCTAGTGAAGAGACTACTGGCTGCAGCTGGGGGTGTACCAACCTGTGTTTCCTCAACCAGGAGAATTTTGGAACTGAGGTCCTGCTTTGAAAATTTTCAAAAACTGTTTGAACTACAGTTTGATGTCTTATTTACCTTGCAGTAATTGTTTATTCCACAACCTCCGCCTCATAAAATGACCTAAACTACTGTCACACAAAAGATGCTATTTCTACTTAAATTGGTGAGTAAACTTTTCGGTGGTTATTGAATACCAATCAGATCTACGGGAAGTCTTGTGAACGCTAGATTTTGATGCCCTGGGTGAGGAAGAGCCCACGTACTAAAGTAGAAAAGAAGTCTGAGACACTTTCTTGCTCTCAAAAATCTGTGAGTACCACATATTCAGTCCTTTCTGGCCAGCATTGTTGCCGCAGAACAGTTCGTTGTGTGAACAGGCGACTGCTAACACATTGCTTCTTAAAATTGCCTTGCATAAGCTTAAATTTGAGGAGAAAGTTGTTCCTAAAGAAGCGCAGCTTGTTTAGTAGGCCTGGCTGGTGTTGAATACTCGGAGAGTGACGCTGGTGACCCAGATAAACAGATTTCCACAACAGCAGGTGGTGCCCTTGCTCTCCCTTTCTGCTGAGACCGGGGCTCGCAACTTCACCCTGGCAAGCGCCTTCCTCTGCGGTCCGCCGCAGCGTCGGGCAGCCGGACGGTTCGCTGTTTGCCCACGTCTCCGGCTCTGTGCTGGCACGCCCTAGCCACCAGCAGTTTTCCTTCTGAAATAGGAATGGAGCAGTCTTCAGTAAAATAATACTAAAAATTCTACACACAGGCAAAATAAAAATAGAATATAACACAATAATCCAATATATATGCTGAAACAAATGATCTCTTCGCCTGTGTGTCTTTTCCGATAGATGTACATTCAGTTTATAATTGTATCTTTTATCCTTTTCATAGTGGTAGCTTCCTTGATGAAATACACTTTCTCCCTGTGAAACAGGACTCCAGAGAACAATACCCCCATACCAGGCTCCCTGAGAAGTGATTGTATTAAAGCCATACCTTTTTATGACTGAAATCGTAAAGCTGCGTGGCTTTTTGAGAGTTCTTTTCCTGCCTTTCATGTTTGACAAGTCTTGGGTAATCTGCACCAACTACACAAGGCAGAACATGAACATGTGGAACACGGGGCCGGGCTCATGGCTTCCAGAGCGCCCACTCAACCCAGTAAACACAAAATACAGCACCTGGCACAAAGACAGACCCCTGACAATTTGGCATCGCAAGGGTCTCGGTGTCTGCCTCAGGCTCCATGCCCTGCTCTGGCAGCGGTGGTTGCCCACGCCAGCACTCACCCCTGCGGAAGGTTCTGGCAGCTTCTGCCCGAGGCTGCCGTGGAGCTGCATCTCTCTGCTGCTCACCTCGTGACAGCGATGTGCTGCCCGCTGCGTTTCTGCCTCTTCGTGCAGAAATAATCTTTCTGATGGAAAGCCCTCAGCGCAGGGAAGACATGGAGCTGTTGGAGCAGGTCCAGAGGAGGCCACAAGGATGATCCGAGGGCTGGAGCACCTCTCCTATGAGGAAAGGCTGAGAGAGTTGGGGCTGTTCAGCCTGGAGAAGAGAAGCCTGCGGGGGGACCTTAGAGCAGCCTTCCAGTACCTGAAGGGGCCTACAAGGAAGCTGGAGAGGGACTTTCGACAAAGGTATGTAGTGATAGGACAAGGGGTAATGGCTTTAAACTGAAGAGGGCAGATTTAGATTAGACAAGGAGGAAATTTTTTACACGGAGGGCAATGAAACACTGGCACAGGTTGCCCAGAGAGGTGATGGAGGCCCCATCCCTGGAAACATTCAAGGCCAGGTTGGACAGGGCTCTGAGCAACCTGGTCTGGTTGAAGATGTCCCTGGTCACTGCAGGGGTGTTGCGCCAGACGACCTCTAAAGATCCCTTCTGACCCAAAGCGTTCTGTGGTTCTATGAGCTTCACATTCTGATTTAGATAACACACTGAGAACAGGAGAGACCAGCGTGGATCCTTAAATGCGTACATCAGGCTCAGGCTGATGCTGAGACCAGTGATGGTCTGGGATAGAATTAATCATTATTAAGAAAAGAAGTATCCAGTGGCCACATGGAACCCATCCACTAGTTACAGTGCAGTTTATTTAGTATGAACCTAATATTAATTGTGAGCTTGCAATACTGGGGGGGGCGTGTCTATACAGCAGAAAAAGTAAAAAATAATATGCAAACTTTTATCACTGACAGCTGACCAAGAAGCAAGAAGCAAGAAGCAAGAAGCACCACATGTTCTTTGTGGAAGATGTACAAACAGTCAGAACAACCTCAAGAAAATAATTTCCTGAATGCATACTTTTTTTAAACAATTCTCTTCCTTCAGAGTGTCAGAAGAACGTTCTTCCAAAAAATGCAAGGAGAGAGCGTGTCATTTTGGTTATTTCTCTCTAGCAAACAATATGCTTGGTGTCTTGCTTGAGGTGTTAATACCTGTGGGAGGACAAATCACTACTACTTCTCATGGACTCGGAAATGTAAAGAGATTTCCCCCAGCCAGGCTTACTGACACCGCCTTCTGTCTTCAGCTCCCACCCTAAGGGATGTTACTCTGAGCTGAATATTCCTACTTGTATTTCAGTGCTGATTTCTGACGATAGATTCCTTTCCAGCTTCTTGTTGTCTTCAAACCAAAGAGAGCAGAGCGTTGCTTTTATGTAAACAATCAAAAGATTTACAAATGTCTGAATCTTTTAGGTTTACATATGTTACAGAGCTGCATTAATTTTCCTCTGGCTATATGCAGTCAGCTGTATTTATTATAATTGGCGTGCAGAGGACAGAAGACTTGACAGAGTGAAAGTTATAGATGGAACAGGATCATTTGATGCTCTGTCAAATCCTGTCTTGCCTAAGAAAACACGTTACATTTCATGCAGAATTGTGGCAGGCTTCATTTGTCATCTCAGCTGCATGAAGTATGATTTACACTGCAGTAAATAAGCATGTAAAATGGCCCGGGCAGGGGAGAAAGTCCTTGTAAAACAGTTTAAAGAGCATTGATCCAACCCTTTTATTATTCTCCACGCACAGCTTTTAGGCCGGTG